GGTATTGAACCAGGAAATGTATTTTTAAAACCATGTTGTTGAATGAACAATATATTTACCTCTGACATTTATCAGTCGTTTGTATTTATGCAACCTTACTTTACATACTGAACTTCAATCTGTTGCGTCATACGCTCAAACTTGTCACTACCTACTAAGGTTTAGACAGCTAAGTAATGGTATTAAAAGCCCTCACCTGGTAGATTTTACACATGATCTTATGAACGAAAGCAAATGTCGTTGCTAAATTGTGCGTGAAAAGACTTTATCAGTACAGTGTGTCACTGCCTAGAGTTCTTAATGTATGAGAGATCATAGGAAATACATATCTAAGCCTTACACCGAAAATAGGAATTTATTATTGTAAAGGATTTGAAAATTTTATGCATTGAAAATCTATAGTATAAAATAAAGTGATATTATTAAACGAGCAAGCTACTGGAGATTAACACCAACATTTTCACAGTGCTTTTATTTTAGGAATTAGAATATCAGATGGTAGATTGCGTAAAACTTACTTTTATATTTGTTGTGTATGTTATTTAGGTGTAAGTAATTTAAAAGTTTGCATAACTCCTGTCTTTGATATCGTGACGTTTTTAGGTATCTATGACTGTTCAGGATGTCCAATGTGTCCTTGAAGTATTAAAGTTTGGGGGCGAACTGGAAACACGCATTACTTCTGAAACATCTGAACAAAGTACTAGTTTTGGAATACTTTATCGACTAGCTACACAAACACCATCTGTTGCAAATTTAGCTAATATCCCTTGTACAATATGCTTGGTAAGTGTTCCTGATATCAAGCTGGTTAATTTAATATTCAACTGGTGAGATTAAACAATTGTTGTACTAGTCTATGGATATTCTTTAAGAAAACGAGTGCCCAACATTTGTAGATGTTGTGTGTAATAAACTATGGTTTTATATTGTTTGCTTTATTATTTAGTTTTATGAAAGTAGACCTGTAAGAAAGAGTGTAGATCATCGGATAGATTTTATTTCGTTGATTTTACTTTCAGAGCTATACACTCGCATGTACGTATATATAAAAGCATATTCTTCATATTTGATATTGATTCACTGATAAAATAAAATGCAAACTTAAGGATGAGGAAATTCCGGAATCCTATGTAATTGTTCAAGTGGAAATCAAAGCTTACTTTTGCTAGATACTTTTGAAATGTATTATAGAAAGGGTTTGTAAATCTTAAATTTGTTATGTACAATGACATTTCTCTCAATAAACTTTACATAAACTGATTTTGTTATTGAAACTCAGCATCGAAATATTTCACATACTAGTTTTTAAAATAATCAGTCGAGTGGTATATTGGGGGTTAAAGCATCTTCCTCTAGACTATTAAATTATAGGTTCGAAGCCTGTTTCATTTCACCTTGACCAGTCGTAGCAAGCTCATTAGCCTCCATACAAAAATCCTTGTTCGAAATTCAGCACTTAAATGTCAATGATTAACAATACTATTATTAAATTCATAGTCTTCTGTATCAATAATTATTACTCATATAACTAATAAATCTTTCGTCGTCATGACTTTCCATCATATTTTCATAAATAATTTCTATTTATTTTAAACAAATTCCATTTAGTGTCGAAAGGACTGTCGTCCAGACGGACCAATCAATCCTCAATCATGTAAACTTTTTCAAGAATTTCTTGAGTTCTGACGAAGATTGTATAATGACCAGCTATATGCATTTTTAAAACACTATATTCTAAAACATTGCATATTCACTTCATATTAACAAGATTCATTGTTGGTCTTTCATGCTTGCTTTTACTATTGTGCCGGCGAATAGTAATTTTATTTTTATTGTCGTGCCGCTTTGTTTATTTTATTCTTGTTAATCAAATAGAAATATTTTTGAGTTTTTATTATCTCAATTTGATAAAAAGATGATATAAGTACACGGTTCCAAACAATCATAACTGTTGGTGTTTTGACAATGATTTAAGCATTGAAATTGTTGATTAGTAAATTATTTTCCTCTTCGTCGTTTATAAACCAGTTACAACTAACTGTGGGTGTATAAATCTGTTAAGTTTGTGCGTGGAAACGATTAGTACAGCTTTTTTACCTATAGTATGCAAATTTATGGACTACCCATTTGTCAACTTTATCCATTCACAATGATTGTTCAGAAATTTATAATAGACATCTAAATAGTAGTTTAAATTTAGTAAGGCCTTAGTGAGGAAAAGAATGTAAAGCATTTGTCTAATACTATGTTTCTACGATATAGATAAAATCATAAGTTCCTCGGTATGAATTTGTTTTTTTCCTAGATTATGTGTCCGGTTACGGGCCTTTATTACACTTGTGTTTTATAATCCAGACAGGATGCCTGTCTTTTCAGTGAGCAGCAACCTATCTCTTGTTATATAGTCCTTAGAATCAATCGACTTCTCTTCATCATGTTTACGATGTGACCATCGAGTTAAGTATGTCGTTACCGCTGTTGGATGTCTTGAATATCACGTAGTTGGAAGCGATGGAAAATAAGCTCGGAACTCAAGTACTGTGCTGGTTTGTGTCAGTCAACATGGAGTATCTGCAGTTATGAGTTGACTGGTGCTCTTTTAGATGCTTGAACCTTCTTTATCCAGAAGAGCAATTGGAAACGTTGACACAGATATTCGACTTTCAATCTCTGAGATAAGGTTGTCTCCACCCCTATAACAGTGGTTAGGGAAATATGACGTTTTGGAATAGGATTAATTGGCTTAATGGCATTTCGCACATCTTGAGGATCGATAATTGAAGGTCCGAGAAAACGGATAGCGTAGGTACTCACTACTCAGAAATACTAAAGTAAACCGAAATATTTTCTTGGTGCTCCTCGAAGTTCAGTGGCTTTCCAAATGGAACTATCTTCGAAGCAATCCAAGTTGATATGCTGCACTTTTATTTTTGGTAGTCCTAGTTCCAGGACATAAAGTACTCGTTTGTTTTATATGTAAGAGTAAATGTTTGACTTCAGTTAATCCACAACCTATCAATAAAATATATTTTAAAAGGATTTCACGATGGATATCTATTTTAAGCATTAAGAATATAAAACAATTGTTTAAACTGATTTAATGACGAATGAATAAGCACAGTAAACGTTTTCAGTTTGTAAAACGTATAAACTCGTAACAGTTATTAAAGATCTGTCATCCATTAGCATTATTAGTTTCGTCAATGCCTTCTCTTATATTATTGTTAACGCTCTCACGTCGATTCATAGACATTTCACTTTCATCTTGTCCCAATGTTACACGTCTCAACGTTTTCATTTTAATTTGTCTTCTTTGCGGATATAATTTTTTTAGTAAACCATAAAATGATTTTATGGATGCCAAAAACAATAAGCTCCAAATTACAACAACTGTAACACAAACTATAACATTAAATGTGAAATTAATAGCACTAACATTCTGTTGTATTGAAGAGTATAAATTGGGATAAGATATACCTTTATCTGAAAAAAAAACAAAGATCTATATATCCCATAAACTTTTTGTAGTTAATGTATCTGACACTCAATGGTGCGAATAATGAATGCTAAGTTTTTGTTTTAGATCATAAATCAATCGATGTTAGACCACCATTGAAAGCCTGGAAGCACTGGACGTCCGTTTCGTCCTAGTATGGGACTCCTCGGCAATGTGGAATCGTGGACGCGCTACCACCATCTCCGTTGTTTTACTAGCCCAACAGTTTGCGGGCGACTACATTTTAGACGGTGTTCTTTTAAAAAATTTATGTATGTGGATAATGATCAGAAGATAAATATTTTCTCTAGTGATATTTCATTGTATCTACAGAAGATAGCAGTAATCTACAGTTTGTTTTTATACATAGTTTGTAGATGACCTTAAAAAATAAGATGAGAACTAAAAGGTAAAGAGTCGTTTCTAAGAATATGTGTTGTAGACTTAAGGATAAATTTGGATAAACAGAAATAAGCATTCAAACAATAGAATTTCTAAAAAATACAAGATTTTCAGAGTACTTTCAACAGTAGAATCTTATCTGATTGATAGATGATATGTAAGTTTGGAAATAAAACTATGATAGAATTCTAGATTATTACTGCAATTAATATTTTATATCGTAGTAATTGATCACTTAGCAGCCTAATCAGTTACCATTTGACAATTATTGTTTATGTGCATGGTTGCCTTGATATACTTGTTCCTAGTAACTGTTAAACTAAGTAACAAACTTCCAATAGTAGTTAATAATATTCACTTCAATTTTAGGTTTAACATTTGAAGTGGGATAAAACTTAAAACCATAGTTCATTGATACTAAGATAAGAATATATGATGGGTATCTCTGGTGATTTATTCATTAAGAGACAAAATAGGATAATCGCATGACATTTTGTTTAATTATGATTATTATCGGGAAGAGGAGTCTGTCCTCTATCCATCTGGATACAGACAGTGTTCTGACTGCTGTGTAGGTAGGCCTTGATAAGTTATTAGCTCATTGAAAATTTGAAATGGAATTACTGCTTACTAGTAAATTAGGCTCTTATAATAGTAAAGTTGTAAACGCGATCAATGTGTCCATCAGAGGTTGTTTATATTGATTTAATAGTCAACTAATTATTCGTTATCGTAGTTTACAGATTCTTTATTGTTACTTTGCGCTTGAAATTCTCGTGATAAGTACCTTTAAATTGGTAAGTCGGGATCCATCGACATACACTTTCATCCATTTGTTGGTATAATGTGGGTTTCATTCAAAGCCATCAATACTTTACTTTCCTATAGTCACTATGACTGGATACATCACTTTTCAGCAGACCTTCGAAAATCATGTTATTTAATTGAGTTCTATATGGAGACTCCTATAATTTAAAGGTCGTTTTTGTAGTACTTACCATGTTGAAATGCTTACCATCGTAAAAATTGGTGTAAAATTGAAACAACTACTCATTAGTAGTATGTCTAATCACGCAGGAAAATTCTGATTACTTGATGTGAACGTATTATAGTTTAAAAATCTGAGACATTACCATTGTTCATTAAATATTTTATATTAAAGAAGGAGAAATTTCACGAGTGAGCCATGGATGGGCAAGTGAGCTCATAAATAAAATCCAGTTTGTAAACGAACTTAATCTAGGAGACTTCATTTAATAGATTATCTAAATTATACGAAATTAACAGTCAAAATGATAAAGATAAGGGTTGAGCAATTTTGTGAATTGATTGGAGTTAGAGATTAACACCGTTGAGTGTCGGTTTAGAGGTTAAGCATCTACGTGTGAGACAGAAGGTTCCTGGCCTGACTTCCGACCGCGAGATCATTAGTGGGCACTGACAAGGAGTTCAATACTAGGTCAAAACGGTCACCCAGTGTTTCTAGACTTTAATCGGTAGTCTAGTCAAGATAAGTGTTTTATTTAGACTGGAGTAAATCGAAGTCAAACTAACTTCGATCTGCTATTTAAGAAGTACATTATCACTAATTAAAACAAGAAAAATGATTTAACTTTAACTGAGATTTAGATTTTACACTAATAAATTGAACTCACATATATACTTGATTTCTACAATCATTAGATTTTTACCTATCTTTTTAAAAATCAATAAACAGGTAATTCATCTTCGCACTGTTAGCTATTTACTTACATGTACATAAATGTTCCGAACATTTAACATAATCAATGGGTGAACCTAAACATAGTTTTGATTTATTTTCCAATTTCATTGATAGACAATCTCTCTGACGTAAACTATAACGCATATTTCCACAGGCTGGTCGACACTGATCCCATTCTGACCACTTCGACCATACCCCAACCCATTCTTCACAAGCAAGTCCACTGTAACCAGGATTGCATACACATTTAGCCTTTTTAAAGAAACAAATTTTACATAGAAATTATATCATTATTATATGATTTGTACTAAATTGATTTCTTTAGCGTGGGATATATGGTTTATCAAATCAGTTGATAAAGTATGGGGATCACATAAGTCTATTTGATATCGACTAGCATGTATCGATTCGATATGTCTTTCAATCAATGAGGAAACAAAAGGTTTTGAAGTTTAAATTTATTTCGTGCAAGATTGTAATACAAAAATGTTAGTTTCCGAAAACAAATCCAGAGAAAACTTTGTTTTCGAAGTGTTTAATGTTGAATGCTACAGCTTCTCGTAGAGGAACAAATTCAGTCATTAGATTCTTTTTAGGATGTTGGAAGATTTGCTTCACGTTTGACGTAACTATTTTCGGTTTTTAAACACAACAAGAAATTTATATTTAGAAAACCGAAGAATTAACTATCTCAGTTGCGGCGAGACTAAACTATACTGACGACCTTTGAAGGAATCTTAAATGACCTTGAGAAATATTAGTCAATCAGAAGACAGTTAGTATACAGTAAAAATATATTATACAAAACTCAAAAATTAAAGGGGATACTGTTCTTTTACATGACTTAAAAACGTCTCAAGGTCAGATATAGGTTCAGAAGTTTGAAAATCATTGTGCATACGGTACAGGAACACATCCATATGCCTCCATAGTAGTCGACCTCTGAAACCATGATAAGGTCTCAAAAATTATTTTAGCGTCGACCACATAGCTTCAACGTTGTTGGTATATTGGTATGGTTTACGGTTTAGGGTTAGAGTTAAGGTTTAGGGTTAAGGGTGAGACAATAATTTATAGACGACCTCTGAGCGACGCTAGAGTGACCCTGAGAGTGTCAAAATAATAACTAAGACCAAACGAGGGTTATAAACCTGTGTGAAGAATTCAAATTATGATTTACAGTTCATGGTTAAGGCTAGGAATTATACTTAGGGTTTTCATCACGAACTGACATCAGCTATAATGCCAAAACTCTATTTATCCAGATCTTATTATCACTTCTCTTGTAGACGCTGAATTATCACGCCTTCCCTAAAATCCGCTGTAAACCGATCGTACGTAAGCATCAGGTACCGAACTTAGCGCCATGACCTTGAAAACCCGCGAAAGCTTCTGATTGGCTCATCAGTATAGTTTAGTCTCGCCATTTATTTTTACTATATTGTAGTACTAATTATATGAATTTACTTTTTCGAAATACAAAAACGAAAACGACCAAATTTTAAATTTTAGTTATTTTGACTGAAGTCATGCCCAAACTGGGATTTTGCAGAGCTAAGAGAGCTTCTTGAAAAGGATACCTGTAGGCAAGATAAATACTGCTGTCAATTTATTGCCATTGGAGTAGTTTGAATGAACCTTACATCATTTTTCAACTGAAGATCTTAGTAGATAATGATATTACTGGCTAAATACTCTTTTCGTTTTCATAAATTTAGAAGGTGATACTTTTCCATCAACTCCGCCTGTAGCCCCTGCGACGGCTACTGCCGGTCCCAAGTCCGGATAAAGGAGGAGGGTTGGGCATGGGGTTATCAACCCAATCCCGTAGAAAACTAACTCGCCAAAAATGCTAACCAGGAAAAATAGTTCAAACTCTGCCCAGAGCGTTAAAGGAAGAATTATGACGCCTCATGATGAAAGCCGAGTTTCATCGGAAGTCACAAGGTCGATGCATCTTCTAAGCAACCAGAGCAACAAATTTTATGGGCATATTGAACGTCCGGACAAAGCGGGAGACCGGAAGAGTCTTCCGAATTGATACAGAAAGGAGGAAATACAACCTGAGGGTACTTGGGATTAGTGAAACATTGGACGCAGGTTGGACAACAACGACTAGCTTCAGGGGAGCTTCTGTTATACTCCGTTCAAGAAGAAGAAAATGCCCCAAATACACAAGGAGTTGCATTGATGCTGTCCAAACAACCACAAAATGCACTTACAGGATGGGAATCTCATGAACCAAGAATCATCAAAGCCTCCTTCAAAACAAAGAAAGACGGCATTACAATGAACGTCATCCAATGCTATGCGCCTAACAACGACTACAATGAAGACGTTAAAAATCAATTCTACAATTAACTGCAGTCGATTATCAAGAAGTGCCCAACCAAGGACCTGACCATTCTGATGGGAGATTTCAGTGCCAAGGTTGGAATGGACAACACTGGATACGAAGACGTCATGGGACGACATGAACTGGGAGAAAGGAACGAAAATAGTGGGAGATTTGCAAACCTATGTGCCTTCAATAAACTGGTCATACGCGACACTATATTCCTACATAAACGCATTTACAAAGCCATATGGACTTCACCGGATCACATTACATAGAACCCCCAAATGCCCTGGTACGGCCGAGAGTGGGGAGAGTCACCTCTCCCTCTCGAAATGCTCTCATATGGCCAGCGAATATATAGCCTCTGACAGGGAAGTCCTACTCACTGCCTTCTCGTGGCATTACTGTTGTTTACGAAATTGAGAGGACGAAAAGCGAATGTCCGGCGCTTTAACCGGGTTAGTGGACATGGAAAGTTCACCTAGGGGAGTTGGAAAACCCTGATTCCAAACCAATGGGGCACATGGGCTTCAGTATCTTGAGGAAACAAATGGCGTATGAACCAATTGTTGGTCACCGGCTACCATGGGACTGCATCTCCTTGCGATGCTCCACTGCCTTGTGGATCAGACATTCAGGTCAAAGGCTCCGGGTGTGGGCCCCTAAGAAAACCACCTGCTTCAGTCTGGGCACCTGGGCAGCATCTCAGCCCTCAGGCAAATCGAAAGAGATTTGTGTTGCGCATATGTATCTGGTGCTTTCTTGTACCAATATTTATGTGTTTAAATAAATAAATAAAATAAACATAGAACCAAATCAACCATATCTGCATCAACAATGTTCAGGAGGGCGATGGAGGATGTGAGAACCAGGAAAGGAGCTGATATAGCATCAGATCATCACTTGCTGGTAGCCAAGATGAAATTAAAACTTAAGAAGCACTGGACAATGGAGCGGACAACATCACGAAAGTTTAATACGGCTTTTCTTCGGAATGCTGACAAATTCAACGAATTCAAGATAGCCTTCAACAATAAGTTCCAGGCCTTTCATGATCTACTGAATAGAGAGGGAACTATTATGGAGAGCAACTGGAAAGGTATCAAGGAGGCAATCGTTTCAACATGTCAGGAGGTTCTGTGCCACAAGAAGCACCATCACAAGGAATGGATCACTGCTGGTACACTGGATAAGATTGAAGAAAGGAGGAACATGAAAGTAGTAATCAATATCAGCCGAACAAGAGCAGAAAAAGCCAAGGTACAAGCCGAATACACAGCAGTAAACAAGCAAGTGAAGAGTAGCATCAGAACCAACAAACTTAAATATGTGGAAGATTTAGCAATGACGGTGGAAAAGGCTGAAAGAGAAGGAGACATGAGACAATTGTATGATACAACAAAGAAACTCTCTGTAAATTACTGTAATTAACCAGAACGACCAGTGAAAAGCAAGGAAGGCAAGGCAATCACCAACATTTAAGAACAACGGAACAGGTCAGTAGAACACTTCAAGGAACTCTTGAATCGACCAGCCCCATTGAATCCAACCAACATTGAAGCAGCACCCATTAACCTCCCAATCGATGTTGGCCCACCAACAATTGAAGAGATCAGCATGACCATCAGACAATTCAAGAGTGGCAAACCAGCAGAACCAGACAACATTCCAACAGAGGCAGTGAAAGCAGATAAAGTAGTAACTGCAAAGATACTCCACATTCTCTTTAACAAGATTTGGAATGAAGAACAAGTACCAACAGACTGGAAAGACGGCTTCTGATCAAAATACCAAAGAAAGGCGATCTCAGTAAGTGTGACAACTACAGGGGCACCACTCTTCTCTCAATACCAAGAAGTCTTCAACAGGGTACTGTTAAACAGAATAAAAGACTTGGTAGACACCCAAGTTCGAGATCAACAGGGTGGATTCCGTAAGGATCGATCGTGTACAGACCAAATCGCAACTCTGCGGATCATTGTGGAACAATCAGCTGAATGGAATTCATCACTCTACATCAACTTCATTGACTACGAGAAAGCATTTGATAGCGTGGACAGGGCAACACTATGGAGGCTTCTTCGGCACTACGGCGTACCTGAGAAGATAGTCAATATCATGCAGAATTCCTATGATGAATTAAACTGCAAAGAAGTGCATGGACGACAAATCACTGACTCGTTCGAGATGAAGATCGATGTCAGACAAGGTTGCTTACTCTCACCCTTTCTCTTTCTTCTGGTGATCGACTGGATCATGAAGGCGTCAACAACCGGGGGGAATCACGGAATACAATGGACAGCTAGGATGCAGCTGGACTATTTAAACTTCGCAGATGATCTGGCTCTTCTATCACACACACAACAACAAATGCAGGAGACGACCAGTGTAACAGCAGCAGTAGGTCTCAATATACACAAAGGGAAAAGCAAGACTCTCCGATACAATACAGCATGCACCAATCGAATTACACTTGACGGAGAAGCTTTTGAGGATGTGAAAACCTTTACATATCTGGGCAGCATCATTGATGAACACGGTGGATCTGATGAAGGTGTGAAGACGTGGATCGGCAGAGCGAGAGCCGTATATTTACAACTGAAGAACATCTGGAACTCAAAACAATTGTCAACCAACACCAAGATCAGAATTTCCAATACAAATGTCAAGACGGTCCTACTGTATGGTGCGGAGACGTGGAGAACTGCGAAAGCCATCATCCAGAAGATACAGGTGTTTATTAACAGTTGTCTACGCAAAATGCTTCGGATCCGTTGGCCAGACACTATCAGCAACAAGCTGCTGTGGGAGACAACAAACCAGATTCCAACCAGCGGAAGAAGAAATTAGGAAGAAGCTCTGGAAGTGAATAAGACACACATTGAAGAAAGCACCCAACTGCGTCACAAGACAAGCCCTCACATGGAATCCTGAAGGCCAAAGGAAAAGAAGACCAGAGAACACATTACTCCGAGAAATGGAGACAGACATGAGATGAATGAACAAAAGTTGAATAGAACCAGAAAGGAAGGCCCAGGATAGAGTCGGTTGGAGAATACTGGTCGGCGGCTTATGCTCCATTGAGAGTAACAGGCGTAAGAAAGTAAAAGTGACAATACTTTTTCATAACTTGTAACTTGATCAGTTATACCTCACAACAAAAGTTATTCGAATGAGTCAACTAACCATCATAAAGAGATTAATCCTACCAGCGGTAGTGAATGGTTTTATTATGTTCGTACCATAACTTTCAATAAGCAATAAAATATTTCCTTATGCTTATAGGTGTCGTAGTTACGGAGCACTATCGTAGTCTTCAGTGTTTATTACACAGAGAATTATTCATCTAGGCTTTTCAAGGAAAGATAAGCCATCTCAACTGTTTCACTCATTATTGTTTATTCAAATTAGCGATAAACAACTTTTTTATTTGCACAATTCGATAGAATACTACGTATAAAGATATAACGTGACCACGTACCTGATCAATATGATTATTTGAAACACAAAATCCATGTACACATACAACAGAATCGCACTTTGTCAGTTTTTGCAAGCAATTAGGATAAGGTAATTCAATATTTGGTATCCAGTGCGTTTCATTACATTGACATTGATATGATGCGTCGCCTTCAGCACTTATTAATGCGATACATTTATTGCCTGAACTATTAACATTACATGCTGTATTACCAGCAATTAATGTTCCACCATTTGGTTGTAAGTGATGTTCAATACGAAATAGACAAGCATTTATTTTGTCTTGGCAATAATAACCGTGATAATCAAGTTTGCACACACATATTGTATACTTAAATAGATAAATAACAAGAGAAAAAAGGATACACTTCTTTTGATACACGTGAAATAGGATTAAATTTTGATAGTCTCTTTGTGCTTACTGATTATTTCAAATATTTGAACAAGAAAATAATTAACAATTTGGAAGAATACAACCAATTAATTAACCAGACAATTTCCTCAATCATCAAAATTTAACTAACATAGTAACAAATATGAAAATAAACTTCCTGAAAACATTTAACAATCATTATGTTCAGTATGTTAAACTTCAGTTTCAAAGCTAATTTAATTTAGTAAAAATAAACAATAAAACGAAATGAAATTTTACTCGTCAAATCGGTAGACTAATATTTATCACTGTGTTGAGGAGATCTGGTCGATAGTCGAATACTACTACTGATTATGAATTCTGAATTCGCATTTCTGAAACCGAGTATCTCATTTAAACTGAGGTCCTTCAACGTTCTCAAACTAAAGCTTGACAGTATTTAGAAAGTCTTTAAATTGGTCTGTTGTCTATCTGAGACCCGTATTTAAGACTCCAATGAAATACTACGAATTCGCTCTCCACCTGGCGCCTCAAAAACTTGTTTCACGTGCACTTATTCGGGGACCCTATAGAATCTTCATCTGCTTTAGCTGGCGTTGGTATCAAACTAAGCGCTAGAGCTGAGACAGGACTAATTGAATGGACAATCAATAACACTGAATCATGTGCTGTTAGATTGGGAAGCTCTATCAAAGTGACCGTCTACTGCAACTTTGCGCAGACTACAACCTGTTTCTGGCTAGCACTAACCATCGCCACTGTCATCGCTGATTTGCCACCTGGCTACCTCCTTCTCCATCTCAAGCCTGGACTCAGATTGATTAAATCATGATCAGTTAACAGTGGTGTGATAATGTACAAGACTGCCGCTCCTTTCGGAGTACTTATCTAGACTCTGATTATGCTTTCAATTGAGCTAATCTTATCTTACGTTTCAATAGCCAACAAATTTATCGTCCTGAATAAATTGATGACGGTAAATTAGTTGTAGCTTGTGCTGCAACTAAATATCAATTCGAGCTAAGTTCAAATTTAGCTGTCAACCCACCGAAAAGTATAGATGAACATCGGCTGAAATCACTTTAAGCCATGAAAATGGCGACTAAGGCCGTTTGCAGCTTAACAAAACGCTTCGCTTGTAGACACTAGGTTTCTGCAGGCTCCTTACAATTTACTGAAGCATGTCGATCTACTCTGGCCAACTGCGAGTTTGACCATAAACAAAGTTCTTCACGTAATGAATTTGTGGGAAGTTTGTATATAGACTGAGAAGCCTGGTGGTCGAATGTTCTAAAGATTTAGAAGCGGCAGCTGAATCTGGTAATTATAGGAAGCTCTTTCAACTCACTCGAGTCACTGGCAACAAGAAATCTGGAGTGAATGAAACAATCTGTGAAGCTGATGGAATGCTAATCAATAACGTCTACCAACGTCCTGGACTATAGAGGGCTTTTGGAGGGACAGTTTAGGTGGTCTGCTGCCCCAGCGACGTAGACCAGATTGTTCTGTCCCCTCAAGGCTTGTGACAACTGATCCATCTAACGAGACAGAAGTCCTCAAGGAATTCCAACTCCTGAACTGTTAAAAGTCACTAGGCCAAGATAAATTACTTCTGACCCTTTTTATAGAACGTGGCGACCTTTTGGTTAAGGAACTTACTGACTTGTTAACAAGTGCCTGGTAATTAGAGAATGTTTCAACATCGTGGAATGAGTCAATAGTTGTACATATTCATAAAAATGCTTCACTTCATTTAAACAACAACTGTTGGACGATAAGTCCACTTCCGATTGAGCCCAAACTATTGGATTCCGTCATGCTTCGTTTATTGTTTAAAACCCGAGAAAGATTGACTCGCGAGGAGCAGAATGGTATTCATTCTGGTCGAGGATGTAGTAGTCATATCTTCGCCTTCTGCCAAATGTTAGAACACCGTCATACTTATTACAAACATAAGGACTGCCTTCGATTCGCAGGACAGGACGGTTCTCTGGGATTGTCCATTGAAGAAGAGTTCATTAACATTTTGAAAACACTACATACTGACACCTCAGGCAATGAGGCCATACAACAAGATCTCTCCATTGTTCTATTCAAGCAGTGGGGTCAGGCAAGGTTACCCAATCTCACCATTCCTTTCCAAATTCCCCAGCAATGACGTTCTGGAAACCGCTCTGATGAATGTACGTAACAATTATTACGACTTTTTGCCTGAAGAAAGACTTTTCGACCTTGAGTATAAGGATGATATTATCTTACTGTGCGATAGCACCCAAGTCATGCAATCCTCACTTAATCAGTGTTTGTCGGTATAGTATATGCTTCTCACCAGCGCCCTCGTCTAACCTGGCTTCCATTGAGGATATTTGACGACTGTACTTAATTATCGTTCTCTCCAAAGGAGTGCTGATATTCATCGGTGACACCATCTTAGTACTGAGTAGCTTCGGCAACGTGTGTTCAGGTACAGTGAAGCTGATTGAATCTGTATCGGTATCTTAGAACACCAACTTCGGTAGCTTGGATATGTTTTGCGAATGTCGTCCCAGTGAATTCCGCATTGTGCGTTATTTGGCGATTCCGGAACCGGTTTGAAAAAGCGGTGAGGTGAACAGTGCACAACATAGTGTTGTGGTGTGAAAGAAAGTCGTACAGGATTGAATTTTGTCGGTTCCTCACGACTCCCTCGTTGGAGGCCTGGAAGAAGCCTTATGCACTGGCTTGAGATTTTATCATTGTTCAGAATAGAAGTTAGTAGCGATCCTTCTGTGATGTTCCTTTACTTTCTTCAAAAAATTGAGAGTAACATTTTTGACTGAGGGAATTCCTCATAGTTGTAATTTTCTTAATTGAACTGCTTCTTCCATTCTTCGTCTTATCATTATTATTATTATCGCACTTTGATGCACTAATTTATATTTATTCTTGTTTTTTTATTATACTCACCTCCCTTTTTCTATCTCTTCTCAACCTCAATTTTATCGTGTGGCGTATGTATATCTTGGTGCCAATTTGTATCAATATTTATATGTTCAAATAAATAAATTGTCACTTGTGAGTACGGCATATCTACAGTGGTCTATCATAATAATTCTATTCGGAATCCAACAATATATTTCCAGGTTCAATCACTTTTTGACAGAACGTAATCTCCATCCTATACCAACGGTAAAACTATTTGGCTCATCACACTTTATACCATGAATTAAAAGTATATTGTTCTAAGAAATGTTTCATAACTGACCAAGAAATAAAGCCGAATTCCTACAAAGAAATCATTCTTAATATAAAGATAAAATATAGACGCTGACAATATAGACAATTCGGAGACCCTTGGTATCCTTCATTTACTCATGCAGAATTAATATGTTCTTCACAAGATACATTCATTAGTACACATTCAACAGCATCACAAACTCATCTAAATGTGTTAAATTATGACACCCTAAATTTTCTAAGGTACCTGTTTCTCGCTAGACAATTTATTTTGCTGATAATATCTATACTCATTGCATAATACAGTAAACCAATTATCTTGCTAACCTCGTAATTTGAATCCATTGTACAGAATAATGTTCCATTTTTACTACATTTACTATTGGGCTCACAATTTCTCGGGTTTCTTTGCCTTAGAATCTTTTCTTTCGTCAGCATATCAGGCTAGTTAAGTAAAAAAAAAAATTGGGATACGTTTGAGTGAATTAAAAACTGCTCATTACTTATTAGTATAGGAGGTTTGTAGCGAGTGTTGAATTTTATAGTTTGCATCAAGGACTGACCTTAATTGGGCAATCTGTAAAAGCGAAGAAGCACTGGACATCTTTGTATTCTAGTATGGGACTCATCGGCCGTATATCGCTAACCCCACAGAGAAATGAACTTTTTGTTGACCCATAGATCCTAAGTTTCTAAACTACCTTATACATTTTATTGTTATTTTTCTACTAATCTCGAGTTGTATCTTCCATACCTGATCTTCTCTACCACCCTTAATACTGTTACTATATGTTTTACTCCGGTATGTTATATGATAATTTCATCTCGCTGTGTTAATAGAGTGTGGCAAATTAAACAAATACACACATGTGACAGGTTCTACGTTGTGTATGATTGAGTGACTGAAATGAGAACAAACGAATATTCAGTGTTTCTAGGATTTCAATGATTTAAATTTATAAGGGGATTTTGCGTCAGCTAAATAAACCGCTTGCTTTTCATGTTTAGGATTTCATTCTTACGGTCAGTAATTTCCAGTTTCATCCTAATTGTTATAATTATGAAAATAAGGGGTAATATAATATTAATTTTTTTTCACATGTTCGCTAGTGTGATAAGTAGAGAAAGTTTGTACTATTTTCCCTTAACTCAGTCTACAATTGTAAGTGTATACTTTAAAAACTATTGTTGTCTATTCTGAAGTCATTCTGCAAATGAAAAGCAGATTCAAAGCTGTGATAAGAAGAGTAAAATGTTGTGTAATTTCAAATTAACAAAGAATATCAACTTACATAACCATATGAAAAAAACAATCTACTTACATAATTTCTCGTTTGCCTTATCTTGTATATACTATCTGGTAAACATTCATTACTATCTCTATTCCATTTACTTGAATTATCACAAGGACATTCATATTCATGTGTAAATATACCATAATTTTTACATACATTAAATGAACAGTCTTTCTGTATAACACATGGGAATGGACAGACAATATGATTATTTATAATCGGTTCTAAATTCTTTTGATATCGACTATAACATGCAGTTAAACATAGTGCATTTAAAAAGTTCATATATGTTACATTATTTATGGTTCTTATTGTTCCATTTCTTTGAATTTGTTCAAACTTTTCAATAATAACTCGATCATTGTTATTTCCTATTGGGATTAAATATTCAATAAATTTTTGTCTTATATAATTCCAACAACTATCAAACATTTGAATTGTTGTATTAAGACATTCATTAGAATGTATACTTATTAATTTATGGAGTTTATTGACATTTGTTAAGTTTTCAATACTGAACCATTTTAATTTACCAAATAATGGTAATGTACTATTCAATATAATGTGTGTAAACCCTGTTTCTAACATTGAATCTGTACAAAACAGATTAGATTTTTGTAAATTTTCAACACCATAATTTATACAAATGAGATAGCAAAAGAATAAATTTAATATACATATGTAATTCATTGCCAACACATGTATATCATTTCATTGAAGTAATATATATTCTTATACAGCTAGTAATGACGAACGAATTTGAAATAATCAATAAGTATACTGGAGAATGATTTATTGAATAATACAGTTGAATCTGTTATCGTTTGGTATAAAATTCTCAGTAACAGTATAATTGCTATTAAGATGAATTATGAACAACTATAATACATACCAACTAAAGTACTGATACATTTATCAAGTTCAAATCAACTGGTTACAGTTATAAATAAAGAGTAGGAATATTGAGAGTATAATCATTGTAGACAATATAAAAATGCATTACAGAAGCTTAAAACCAAACGCAATTAGATGAAAACAAAGCAATATAACCACTCAAAAAAAATTATTAGTATCCTAATATTCAACAATTTATACGCCGAGTACAAGCTTACGTACTTGAATTTCAATTACAAAATATGTAAGAGTTTAGCGATAGTATTTAGACCAAAGTAGGTGGAATAGAGTTCGAACATGTTATCTACCAATTGGAGGTTAATTAATTCATGTATTGAGTCGATGCTTCATGTGATATAAACAAGTGCCAAACCTAGTGACTGGGATAAATTCCCAGAGTTGTTGTTTAGTAAAATAACAATTAATCATTTCTCATTATTGGAAACCACAGATAACAACTGTGTAAAAAGAATTTGCGAACAACTACTATAGAGGTACTGTATATCTGTCTCCACATCTACATCCACTTATTGCATTTAACAGTGTGACTGCCCTGTGAACTTATTCATTTGGAGAACACAGCCAGATAACTATGTTGTAGAATTCCTAAAACATACTAGGGCAGTTGGTAGCTTGGATGGTAAATACCTATCGGTAACTCAACTTAGGGATTACAAAGTCGTTTGTCGTCTACCATTCGATCCATATAGCCGGTTATGTATCTAACTACATGTCAGCGTTCATCACACTAAAAAATTTAAACTGTTCTCACGACCTTAGCCGATGAAATAATTGCAGGATTCGCCTAAAATTTTATATACTCAAAAAAAGCAGAAACATTTACGAGAGACTTATCCTCTTTATTTCAAACTGGGATTTTCGTTTTTTATTATGTAATTTCTGAACTTCAGAGTACCCTATTTACATTTATGTACTGTAAACAACCTTTAAACTTAGTTATCGTACTTATTGAATCGTATTCGTAGTCATTACTTCTATGGATAACTTAAAATCTATAAAAACTGTTAAATAATTCATTACTAAATAATTGGTACTCATTTTATCATTCGTTGTAAAACCTAAACAACATTAGTGCAGATACCTAATGATAAATAAATAGAAAAGAATTAAATTTCTTGCTAAATTAGGGCTTTTCCCTAATTTCTAAATACAGAAATATTCAGTTCACTTCATTAAAAAGCTTACTCATGAAAATTAATTGAACCTGATAATAGTAGTTATCACGAACCAACAGTAACTAAAAAAGTCGTTGAAAGCGCGTGAAGTTATAGATTAGGACCCAAAAGCTAGCCTAATGGTTCCCGGTCTTCAATGATTTTCCAGAACACATCAGTTCTTGTTGAAAAATATCTTAAAGTTACTTAATTATTCAGTACAGAGTGTATAAGTCAAACACTGCTTGCAATTTGAGACAGTTAATGCAATCGTAACAATTGAAACTAAATGAAGTTGACTTTCGAGAATGAAAGCTTGTTTTCCCTGTTATTTCTTGATCAATACAACTACTAGTCTACAGAAATATCTTTCTAAAGTAAAAAACAAACAAGAAAGTTAATTGTGAAACTCAATTATCCATACAAACATTTTCAAACCGTTGTAATCGACTAAGATAGGTAAGTGATAAATTCAGTGCTGCTAGAAGTGATCACTACCACATAATAATAACACAATAAACCCCTCTTTCTATGAACTAAACAATATAAGATCAAACAGAAATTTAAGATCAAAAAAAACAATTTTTTATTCAGTCACAGATAATTTACAAAATTAACAAAAGTATTAGCAAAGAACAAATAGTGATAAAAAAATAATAATCACAGTTATTGTTCTACGTAAGAAGTCGCTGACAATTTAAAGTATCTTCAAAAATGAGAGAGGAAACAAGGAATGAAAAGTTATCAGTGAAACAGTCACCTTGACAATGTCAAGTAAACCACAAGTTCCTTTTGTACACACATATTCATGCTGAAACAACTGACAGTAGCTCCTTCTGAAAAAATAGAAGTCCGAAATAGTCCTGTATATTTATCACACGGAAGGTAGTATCATGATTTACTGGATGACCAGTGTCCAATTTGTCTTCCTATGATATCACCACGTAGTTTGGAGCAATGCATGACCAAATTATTCGGCTTATATCCCGATGTTCTTTAAGATAATAGCCTCTCTGATATTCCAAAATATGTGCTATTGCAAGTAGAGAATGATTGGATATCAACGGTCTCTTTTAGTGGGAAATTAGTGATTTAAGACTCCACATTAAAAGAAGTTATAAGTATTTTTAACTATATTTTAGTAGTGAACTAAATGACTTCATACACATATAGCTACAATGAAAACATTTTATCTATTGATACAAACCACTGCGTACATGAGAGAACTAGAGCACACGACATGAAATAAACTCGATTTATCCTATAACGGTAATTGTTATTGATGCATAAAAATTATTATGGATTATCGTTCTTATCCAGATAGATTAATTATGATATAAGTGGATTACACAATTCGAAAATGGAATGATGAAACGTGTCCATATAGTGAGGAAAGTTGAGGATCTGCGTTATAAAAGAAACAATAAGAAATGGTTGACGTAAGGTGGGAAACGAAGTTAACAACAAGTGATTAAATAACAGTAACAAAATACTAATATTTCAAATAACTATGTTGATTTTATTGGTCAAACTAATCTATTCTTATCTATTAGAAAACAATCACTTCCCTGATATATCTACATTAATTCGATTTAACTCCGTTGACCTCTTTTTTAGCATTGTAATACATTCTACTCAACAATTGTTTCCCACGCATAAGCTGAACATCCTAAGATCCAATTTATTCCTCAAATATCTTTTAACCTGAATTGTTTAAGTTGATTCAAGGAGATGAGGTCTATAGATATTTTGATATCCCACTTACTACTAGCACATCTATCATTTTAAAGGAACCCTGAACCATATTATTAAACAGCAGACACTTTAATGGAAAGTACCACTGATCTCGGTGAATTTTTAAGACAACAGACTCAAACAATGTGTTATCTTTTAATAGAACTATAAAAATGTCGAAACAAACAACGCCATCATAACTAACTTAATGGGAAAATGACACTTGATTTTACCTAGTAAACCAAGGTTTCTTTTAGCTTTTAAGTAGATACTCAACTATTTAAAACCTGCTGCGAATGATTCCTGGTATACGTAACACTATTCTATCCATTAACTTTACAGAGGGACACATACATTGATTTGTTGAAGTCACAGTATTTCGGGTTTTCTTACAATATGAAACTTTCTGTAGCCATCGTTAAACGTCGCAAAGTTAGCACAACTTTTGAACGAATGGCGGAAGAACCTGCTGTTGGTCAACGGCAACCATGGGACTGCATCTCCTCACGATGCTCCACTGCCTTGTGGATCAGACCTTTAGGTCAAAGGCTCGGGGTGTGGTCCCCTAAGAAAACCACCTGCTTCGGTTTGGGCACCCGGGCAGTATCACAGCCCACACACAAACAAATGAATGAAATTATGAACTCTATTGACGATATCCCTGGTCATACTAAAAGCAAGACAATTAACATTATTATTATTATTACCTTTATTATTATTATTATTATTATTATTATTATTATTATTATTACTTACCATATCGCTAATTCACCCCCTTTTATCCCCAATTTGTGTAACCTTACTCTTCAACTTATGCAGCAGCTCGCTCTTGGTGGAAAATCTGTCCTATCTAAACGATCTCCAGTCACTGTCTGGTTGAAAGTGAATGCTTCCACCGATTATGAATACTGAGGCAGTCTTTCTGAAACCACGTACGCCGTTCAAGCTGGCTTCCTTCAACGTTCGCACACTAATGCAGATCAGACAACAGATAGGGCTGGCTATGTCTTTGGAAGGTCTTAATGTTGACGTTTGTTGTCTATCCGAGACCCGTATTCAAGACTCTAGTGAAGTACTACAAATCCGCTCTCCATCTGTCGCCTTGAAAAGCTTGTTCCACGTGCGCTTATCCGGGGACCCTGTGGCATCTTCGTCTGGTCTTGCTGGCGTTGGTGTCGCACTAAGCGCTAGAGCTGAGGCAGCACTAATCGATTGGATCCCCATTAACAGTCGGTTATGTGCTGTTAGATTAGAAAGTTCCATCAAAATGAGAAGAAACCGGCGTGAGAAACGGTGTCTTTTCGTCATCTCCGCCTATGCCCCGACAGATTGCAGCCCGGATGCAATCAAGGATGAGTTTTACCATCAGTTAACAGTTCTTCTACAGAAAGCGCGTTCGACAGATATTGTAGTACTAGCCGGAGACTTGAATGCACAGGTCGGGCGTCTAGGCATAGAAGAGAGTCGTTTAGGTGGCCGATGGGGACTTGTTGGTCGCAGGACAGATAACGGGGACCGTTTGCTGCAACTGTGCACAGACCACAACCTGTTTCTGGCCAGCACCAACTTCCGGCACAGTCATCGCCGGTGTGCCACCTGGCGTCCTCCCTCTGCATCCCAAGCCTGGACTCAGATTGATCACATCGCGATCAGCTACCGCTGGCGTGGTTGTGTACAAGACGGCCGCTCCTTTTGGAGTACCTATCTGGAGTCTGATCATGCCCTGGTCTGCGCCAATCTCACCTTACTTTTCAGTGGCCGAAGGATTGACCACCACCAACGGATTGATATTAGTAAACTGGCTGCAACTTCTGTTGCAAGTAAGTATCGAGCTGAGTTAGCCTCTAGGCTAGCTACCACCCCACCGAAAAGTATAGACGAGCATTGGTTGCATCTTCACGACGCCATGAAAATGGCGAGTAAAGCCGCTTGCGGCTTCGCGAAACGTCCCGCTTACAAGCACTGGGTTTCTTCTGGCTCCTTACAACTGATGGAAGCCCGTCGGTCTACTCCGGGTGACCGTGAGTTTGACCACAAACGAAGGCTGTTACGTAATGAAATCGGGCAAAGCTTGTGTAAGGACCGGGAAGCCTGGTGGTCGGAGCGTGCTAATGAGATGGAAGCAGCAGCTGCATCTGGTAACTGCCGGAAGCTCTTCCAACTCATCCGAGCTACTGGCAGCAAGAAGTCTGGTGTGAGTGAAACAATCTACGAGGATGACGGGATGCCAATCACTAACATCTGTCGACGTCTTGGACGATGGGCGGAATTTTTCGAAGGGCAGTTCAACTGGCCTGCTGCTCCGGCAACATCAACCAGCTTGTCCTGCTCCCCATGGCCGGTGACGACTGATCCACCAAACGAGGCGGAAGTCCGCAAGGAACTCCGACTCTTGAAACGTTACAAATCACCTGGCCCAGATGACTTACCTCCGGCTCTTTTTAAAGATGGTGGTGACTTTCTGGCTAAGGAACTGACTGCGTTGTTTGGAAAGGTTTGGGAGCAAGAAAGTGTTCCAACATCTTGGAATGAGTCAATAGTCGTCCCTATCTTCAAAAAGGGTTCACGTTGTTCCTGCAATAACTACCGGGGGATAAGTCTACTTTCGATCGCGTCCAAACTATTGGCTTCTATCATTCTTCGTAGGTTGTTTAAAACCCGAGAACGATTGACTCGCGAGGAGCAGGCTGGTTTTCGTTCTGGTCGAGGATGCATTGATCACATCTTCACCCTCCGCCAAATGTTAGAACACCGTCATACTTATCGCAGGCCAACAATCGTAGTGTTTCTTGATATCAGGGCGGCCTTCGATTCGTTGGACAGGACTGTTCTCTGGGATTGTCTATTGAAGAAGGGTGTGCCTGAGAAGTTCATTAACATCTTAAAGGCCCTGTATACGAACACCTCAGGCAGAGTGAGGGCATACAACCACCTTTCTCCCTTGTTCCATTCGAGCAGTGGGGTTAGGCAGGGTTGCCCGATCTCACCATTCCTCTTCAACTTTGCCATGGACGACATCCTAGAAACAGCTCTGATGGATGTAAGTAATGGCGGTGTGGATATGTTGCCTGGAGAACGACTTCTCGACCTTGAGTATGCGGATGATATTGTCTTACTGTGCGATAATGCCCAAGGCATGCAATCAGCACTTAATCAGTTGGCAATCAGTGTCCGCAGGTACGGCATGTGCTTTGCACCCTCCAAGTGCAAAGTACTCCTACAAGACTGGCAGGATTCTCATCCTGTACTCACCCTGGATGGTGAGGAGATCGAAGTAGTTGAGAAGTTCGTGTATCTAGGTAGCTATATAAGTGCTGGTGGTGGCGTGAGTGATGAGATTGATGCACGTATAATGAAAGCCAGAGCGGCTTATGCCAATCTGGGCCATCTTTGGCGCCTTCGTGATGTTAGTCTGGCTGTAAAAGGTCGGATCTACAACGCGTCGGTGAGAGCAGTTTTGCTCTATGCTTGTGAAACCTGGCCTCTCCGAGTTGAGGATGTTAGACGTCTCTCTGTGTTCGATCATCGTTGTCTCCGAAGGATTGCTGACATCCAGTGGCAACACCATGTTAGTAATGCAGAGGTTCGGCATCGTGTGTTCGGACACAGAGACGATAATTCAATTGGTGTCACCATCTTGAAACACCGACTTCGGTGGCTCGGACATGTTTTACGAATGTCGTCCCAGAGACTTCCGCGTCGTGCATTATTTGCCGACCCTGGGACTGGTTGGAGAAAGCGGAGAGGAGGTCAGTGTATGACATGGTGTCGTGGCATGAAAGAAAGCTGCAAAGGGCTAGCTTTTGTTGGTCCTTCACGACTCCCTGGTTGGGGTCCGAGAGATAGTGCAACACAGTGGCTAGAGACGTTATCGGATATGGCTCAGAATAGAAGCCAGTGGCGATCCTGATGCAACCTTCTTTTACTTTCTACATAAAGAATGGTTCTAACTTTCCTAACTGAAAGAGTCTTCTGGTTGTACATTTCAGCCCGCCTTATCTTTTCATCCTTTATCTACCTACTTTCATTATTTTGTGTGGCGCATATGTACCTGGTGCCCTTTTGTACCAATATATATGTGTTTAAATAAATAAAAAATAATAACAACTTTTGAGGAAGGCAACAGAACTTAGGCAACAAAAGTTACTGGTAGTCGAAACGAACAAACAAAATAAGACATGAGATAAATGTGTATGGATTTAAATTACATCACTAAAGACGGTCAAAAAACGTAGTCCACCTTATCACATTTTAGTACAATAGTGTATTTCACTCTCGACATCAGTGCTGAGCAAAATAAAATAGTATATAACCTAGCAAAATCTTGAAACAATTAGAAAATCAGAAAATAAAGTTTGCAAACAATGGGTAAGTGACCACTAAGTAGTTCAATCTAAATGGTGATCCTTCTTTAAAATACTAACATGAGTATCAGAAAATTATTGTGTAATCATTTAAAGACATCAAATAAAGTCGATAAGCTTATGATAGATATTCGGAAAACAGTAGCCAACATACATACAAGCATATATTCAAAATAGGTCTTACATATATTAAAAATCTCTAATCTTATACACAACAAAGCGTTTTCCTACATATTGGGACAAATATTAAAATATTTCTACATACTTAATAAAAAGATACAGTATTTACCTTCCAGGAGGTAGAGCCTTAACGGTATTATGATAAGCATCGAAAAACATTTTAACTTCTTTCGATGGCCAATTCAATGCTCGCATTGGTTCAATTAACTAAAACAAAATTGAAAGTATAAACCACTACGTAAGACAGGAAATAGCTATTTCTATAATAATAATAATAATAATAATAATAATAATAATAATAATAATAATAATAATAATAATAATGGTAACAATCGGTTATTCGATTCAGAAAAGTTTTACTTGTAACTAAAGAGAATAGTACAAGGAAGACAGGACTATGAAACCACGTGAAACTTAGAATTTGAATGAAATTAACCTCACAACTAGAAGCAGAAACGTCTGCAGGGCGACAGAGTGAAATATTTATATTTGCAGATTTCCCAAAAGGCGATAATACGAGCGAAACTTTGAAGTGATCCAACTGCTCATCAAACACTATGGGGTTGTGGGACACAAGACATTTCGTACGAGAATTACTATTACCACCAAACCTTTTTAGTACATTATTTATTATTTGTGAAAAAGTAATGTATATATGATGCAACTACTACAGAACATCAATAATTCAATGATTTGAAATTTTTAAAAATACCTTTTCAATAATGTCTAAGAAAAAATTTCGCATTTCCCGAGCGTGGCTTAGACCACATGCTAAATTTATCACTGCTTTGGATATAGGCTAAAAAATATAGGAAAGGATAAAAAAAACAAGATTTTCAATGCTTTGTTAAAATTGAAATATGATTTTTATACAGAATGATTGTTAGATTATATTAAAAGAGGGAGTTATCGCTCATTTCTTAAGAGATCCATTAATAAAACCACTGTTAATTTAAATATCTGAACAAATTAATAAAATTGCACAAAGTAGAAATTTTTGTAAGTGATATTTACTGATACTAAATGGAACAGCGGATTTTAATGGTATGGGACTACTTTCAAACTACACCGACAAGAAAACATGAGGTGAGTAATAAAAGTGCAGAACTTTATTCGCAATAACAAAATCGTTGGATGAACATACAAACAGAAACGGAAGAACAGAATAAACGATAATAACTAAAATGTTTACACTAAGTAATCCTATAATAATAACCAGCATCATAAACTGCTAAAAACTTTGGATTTTATAGATTGTCATTGACGGAATTTCGTAGGAGTTTTAAGGATTTCCAAACATTTACTTATGTTTTTTGCTATATCTGAAGATTAAAAGATTAATTTATGGAATATTGGGTTAACTATTATACACAACCATTCTATCTGCCAATAGTTAACAGTGAAAAACTTTTAAGAAGGTGAAGAGAGTTAATTTATAGACAAACATGTAGCTAACATTTTTTAAACATTCATTACGAGTCTGTGTTGCAAAATGTTAACTATGACAACTATGTTAAACATGACAACTATATTGCAAAAATCAAAGAAAATTATCTAGTTAGATATACTCATTAACACCAACAGAAAATTGTTTATAATTGGCAGCTTGCATTATAAAAAATACTCTGACACGGCCTTACTTTGAAGTTGGATTCTAAATTTGCTAAAACGATTTTCGCTTGAATTTCAGAGAGACTGCGAATAACAAGTCTGCAAAAATAATAAAAACATGGATTATATAGACATACGGATGAAAATAAATGGTTTATGAGTTGTTTTAATTTAAATTGATCATAAGATCAACTTTATACAGAAGGAAATATTCTGTAAAACTGTTACCAGTCAGTTTTAGTCAATGTTACGAATGTCCTAATGTGTAACTTATCAATCATCATGGCATCTCCTGGATGATGAATTCCTTGGATCAAAATTATTTGGATATCTGAATGGCCGATTTCAAGGGATTGCTATGCCACTGAAGTACATCCTATCATCTGTGAAAATACGAATATTTAGTAGTGGCTATAACCAAAATGTTGAGAAAAATCAGTGGATTTCAGTAGCATTTATTGAATCGATAAATAATTGGAAACGGGACACGACGAGGAGCGAAAGCTACTTAAACGTAGACTGACAAAAGTCTACACAATGATCGTGAGCAGTGGTGGCCAGCAAAAGCAAAACCGATGGAAAAGGCTTCGGCGATAAACAACAATAGACAACTTTTCAAGCTCATAAGAAAACAGGTATTAAATGTTCGGGAGTTAGTGGGACGCTTTCTGAAAAAAATTACAATGACGAAACGGTTCGAATGGTTGGTTGAATTTAGCGAAAACGAAGTTTGTTATACAACAGATACGTTGAATATTTTGCTCGGATGTAGCGTCATTAAGAACTAAACATAAGCTTATAATGTCCGTTACTTTTCATTAAACGTCTAACAACACCAAATTCTCAAGATATGTCTAAAAAATTTGATAAATAGTATCTTTTAATTTGAACCTGGTAACGATTATTCAAAATACTTTCAAGGAAGTCAAGGATATTCAAATGACATGAAAACAAATCGAATATCCGGTATATCTTATTCTTAAACATTTGAATCACGAAAAATAAGCTTACAGTTTATGCTTATCTAAATATTCTTTTTTCTCAATCAGTGGTTTACATTCTTTAAGATCGTGAAAAAATTGAAGGTCCAAATCAATACTGACAACCGGTTCACCTTTTGGATCTTTAATTTCAATAAAATCAAAGTTAAAAAGAATAAGAAATTACACACAAGACATAAATTTTCTTTAATCATCCAAAAATAACATAAACGCCATCATAGTAATGAGATCAACAGAACTGTAAATGCAAATTATTTCTACTTAAGATAGTCTAAGATTAAGAACTATACATACCAAACTTTCGAAATAACACTCATGAATGACTTAGATAATGAAAATTTGCTGTTCTAAGCAAGTTCTAACGGTGTTTGGAACAATTATGGTAAACGAGGACCGTCTGATAACAAGAAAGTGGAGCAGTGGCCCAATGATTTAGGCATTCAACTTTCAAGCAGCAGGTCGTGACACCTTGTCTCGTCTACTGTGGTTTGGGCAACCGGGTAGCATAACTAGCCCTCATATTTAGAATCTAGCTCATAGCCACGTATACGAATCTGTACCTGATTGATTAGTTAATTAGTGCTGTACCTTACATCCTATCCACAATAAATCATGAACTCTTTGTTTATTACACACTGAAAAAATGAACTGAATTACAACTTATCAAGAAAATAAAACAAATTTATACCTACCTTTACCACTAGTTGACCAATGAGTCATTAGCTGACCTGCACAATATGCCAAGTTCTCAAAAGTAAGATATGAAAGACACTTCTTAGACGTTTCAAATCTAAGGAAATAAATGTACAGAGAGACGATTATCCATCAGTCAGTCTAGACAGTGAAATACGTCCTACACAAGCGTGTCGAATCAAAGAAAGAGTGAAGACCAAGACTAAGCCCAAGACCAAGATTAAGCTGGAAAAACATATGGATAAGCAAAGTGCTAAAGGTTTAGTTAAGAGTGAAGAATGACTTTTTCCGAGCCATTATAATCGCTTTAAGCAGTATTATTCAAGGTGATCAAACATAAATTTTTAGAACCTTCAAGATATAAATCATATAGTATACATTTCTAGGCACAATTCTGACTAACTCAAATGCCTTTGTGCTGTCTCCTTGCTCAGTAACATACTAGAAAAGAAATACGTGAAAAAGAAGACAGCATCAGACTATAATCTCCAGCAAATGTTTAAAAAAGAATGAAACAATACAAATTAACGACTCTTCCTTAAAAACATTACAGGTTTTTTTCTTCTGCAGTGCTTATCGGAACTCAGACTAACATATATGATGCTTCACATATTTGAGCAGTAACAGATACACAAGTTTGGCACACACAACCTACTAATAACCCTTAATAGAACAAGGAATGCATATATTACCCGTTATACAGCTTTGCGACAGTTTGGTGCTGTCATAATATATTGTACTTGCAATTAAAACACTGTCGCATTAGATGTTATATCAAAACCAATTAGGTTATCAAACTTTTTTGTGTAAATATACCTGTTACTTGTAATAAATATAACAGCGGCATAACACTCAGCAAGCCATTCTGGTAGAAGAAAACAATTCTTTATATTATCTGTTAGTGGACCAGGCAAATCTTCAGTCCGGCGGGCAACACACGACAGGTTATCAAACTGCCTTTTACAACTCCTTAGTTGAAGTTCGCATCTTTCTGCAATATCAGATAATTCCCGTCTGGATTTATTTGATAATCTTTTGCCAACAAATTCACGTAAAAAACTCTCATCAAGGGAATAGTATCTGTATATCAAGACAAATTGAAGTAAATGAGGGATATGAAGCAGGTGATTAATAAAGAGTTTTAGAATAATACATTTGATGAATGGTAACTAAATTACAACAATACTTCATATGGTGTGAAGAAGTAGCAAAAAGACTGAACTAAATGGCAATGATAGTTGTCAAGATGGATGATATTACGAGGTCCTTAGCCAAAACTAACTGCTAATTACAAATAAAAACACAAGGTGATTTAAAACAATTATATAATGATGGATATTCAGTCAAGCTTGAAAATGAAGGTCACAAAACAGTTAGTCAGTTTGTAAGATTGACCACAGAATCGACTTTTTGACAAGAGCTAAACAATCTTATAGGAATATATTCAGCTTATACAAGGAAAAGATTATGTGGAATTAAATTAAAAATGACTCATCGACTATTTCTATCCTTATGAAAAGCACCTGAGTCGTACTTTAAATTGTAGCTTTGAACTTCAAGTCCAAAACTTGCTGTACTTCAGTTCAAGTAAAAAAAACAACTAATATAAGCTTTTATACAACGAATGTAACTCAAAATAGTGCAGAAACCTGTACTTGATTAGTGAGTTAAATTATTGTAGTCATTCTTACAGTTGGTTTTGGTACGAAGATACTAAGTAAAACTATAACATTGAAATGTTAAAATATAGGTTTATTTGACTCGATTCATAACATGTAGCATCTAGTGAACTTAACTGAGATTTCAAACTATGATTACCTCGCACACTTGAATGAGATTATTGGGCTGGGGGTCGGACAAATAGGGCATTTTTATCATAGGTAATAAATTTTGATAAGTCCTCAACCAGCCGAGACGTTTATGCGAATTCAAAGTTTGACAAGAGGCAAAACAGTTGAGAGCGAATTTGAAGGTATTGAGTGCAACATCCACTTGGTTAGACAAATTCGACGTTAATATGAAATATCACTGTTTTAAATGTATAAAATACTATAAAAGAAATTCGCCTTTCCATCTTACTAAGCAGTGTAATCCCCAGATATTAGTTTCGTCTCAAAAAAGATTTTTGTTCATACCGAAATTACGAGACATACTGCATAGATTTTGTGGAAAACATTTGTGCACGAGATCCCGTTTGTTTTTGAGTACGGAGAATAGGTAGGTATACCTGACTTATGTAGGAGTATTTACCTAATATTTTTGCGGTAAGCCGCCGAATTATTGAAAGGCAAAATACAACGGCTAAATGCATTGCGAAAGGCAAAGGATGATTAGTATTGACTTTGCAGTTTATTTTATTTATTTAAACACATAAATATTGGTACAAGGGGGCAACAGATACATATGCGCCATACAAATCTCTTTCAATTTGCCTGAGGGCTGTGATACTGCCCAGAAGCCCGAACTGAAGCAGGTGGTTTTCTTAGGGGCCCACACCCGGAGCCTTTGACCGAAAGATCTGATCCACAAGGTAGTGGAGCATCGTGAGGAGATGCAGTCCCATGGTAGCCGGTGATCAACGATTGATTCGTACGCCATTTCTTCCCTAAGGATACTGGAGCCCATGTGCACCATTGGTTTAGAATCAGGGTTTTCCAACTCCCCTAGGTGGACTCGCCTTGTCCACCAACCCGGTTAAAGCGCCGGACATTCGCTTTTCGTCCTCTCAATTTCGTAAACAACAGTAATGCCACGAGAAGGCAGTGAGTAGGACTTCCCTGTCAGAGGCTATATATTCGCTGGCCATGTGAGAGCATTTCGATAGGGAGAGCAGACTCTCCCCACTCTCGGCCGTACCAGGGAATTTGGGGGCTGACTTTGCAGTTAATTCACCCCTACTTGCATCATTACTGTAAGTGCCGATAAATCAGCATATTGGTCGCATTTAATAAAATCCGATATAGTGAGCTGACGACCTATGAGATCTCAGTATGAACATTCAATGTTTACTTGGCGCATTGTCTGGTCACTAGGTTTATTTGTGGATACATTTGTTACAAATCACCTTTTATAAAGCCAGCACGCAAAAAATGTCAAATTTTTACAGTGAATAAATCAGCTAATATGTGATCTTCTGTATGGCAACTACTTTTATAAATATGAAACTTTTTTTATTCAATGCAACAAGATAAAGCCAAAACAGATGAATGAGATAAACACGTACAAGTGAATCAACTGCTTGCGGGTTTCTGGTGTAAGCTGATGGTATGCACAATCTTGCATGAAAGAATTTGGATGTCGTAAACCTGATTCCAAAAGTGTGAACTGAGCAAAGTGGTCTCTGACATGTGCGGCCAACATATCGTTTGTCATACCATACTCCTCTACTGAAGGCGATTGAGCCATGATTGTGCAAGCCTGAGAGACTAGGAAATTGACGGAACAGTAAACAGGTTTATGTGTAGTTGGAGCGACAAATAAATTGGTCATTTCATATTAAAACTATACTGAGTAATTAAAATAGCATGCAGTAGATAAAAAAAACTATCTAAAGAAATGATCATAGTTAGCCAAAATCATTATTACCGATGCCAGATAGCAATAACTTCATGAAATAATAGCTGTAATTACTTAAACATCCCAGCAATACCATCAGTGTAAATGTCCAGGTTGAATGTTTTACTAGTCAGAAAAAAAACTGATTGGTGTCAACAAGAGAATTCAACAGTGAAAAGCCAATTCAACAATACACCTAAAGTTATTTGAAGGGTGACAAACCATCCAGCTCAGAGAACGAAACCCCATCAAAATCATTCATCTGGGCTACAAATCTCCACCATCTCAAAAACAGTTAAAACTCAATTCATTCGAAGTCAGGTTTCACAATATTAAGTGGGATGGAGCTAACAAGTTTCATTATCTAGAAATACATGGTCAAAATCACTGTCATGATACCCAAAAAAACATACTATAGGTTTCGCTTTATAATACCACCATATTTTATCTTAAGAGTATAAACATCATATTTCTAAAAGCAAACTAGAAAGCCTGCAACCAGGAAATTAGTGTTTCACTGTTTCAAATATAATAAAAGAATTTAAGACGGAATGATCCCAAGCAAACAAAAAAGGAAAACAAAGAATTTGAGGGTAATAAAGGTGACATTCCCAAATTTTTATGAATTCAAGGAATTGCGTGCAATATCGCCTTTGACGACTGTAATTGGGGAGATGGTCGAATATTTTGCTTAACTGTTTCTCTTGAGGCGGTGTCAAGAAATTCACAACCAACACCTTATTGGTTCTGTCTGCCCCCGAATGCCTTGGTACGGCTGAGAGTGGGGAGGACCCACCCTCTCTCGAAATGCTCTCACATGGCCACGCGTATATAGCCTCTGTCAAGGAAGTCCTACTCACTGCCTTATCGTGGCACCGGCGTTGTTTACGAAAGTGAGAGGACGAAAAGCTAATGTCCGGCGCTTTAACCGGGTTGGTGGACACTGCGAGTCCACCTAGGAGAATTGGAAAACCCTGACTCCAAACCAATGGTGCACATGGGCTCCAGTATCCTGAAGGAACAAGTGGCGTATGTACCAATCGTCCGTTACCGGCTACTATGAGACTGCATCTCCTCACGATACTCCACTACCTTGCGGATCAGACCTTCAGATCGAAGGCTCCGGGTGTGGCCCCTTAAGAAAACCACCTGCTTCGGTCTGGGCACCCGGGCAGTATCATAGTCATCACACAATTACATGAAATGACCATTTTTGTGTGGTGCATATATATCTGGTGCCCCTTTGTACCAATATTTATGTGTTCAAATAAATAAATAATTCTGTCTGATAAATAATGTATCAAGTAATTGGGAGGTGAGACTATAATTTATATACCTTTGAGAAACGTCAAAGCGACTTTTAGAAATTTCACCAGCCTACTAGGGTTTAAGGAGGATTATGGGTTAGTATGGGAAAGCATAATCGAAATTTAGTTAGAAGCCTATGTTGGGGATTATATCAAGAAATTACATTATAAAGTAATATCAATTATAATGCCAAAATGCTATATAGGCATATGGACGAATGAATTTTGGGCCAAACTCTAAAACTCGCTATCATAAACCTGATAAGTTGAAGTTTCTCTGATTTACCCCAGAGTTTGCCAAACTTAGATGCATTCTGGAAATATATATATATATATATATATATATATATATATATATGACAAGAAATTCTAGGTAGAGTATTATAAAGAACCTGATGGTATACTTACTAGTTCGTCCATGTACCCATAAGTAAAACATTTCCATATCAACAAAACTCGGGCTGGTAACTGTGACGTCGACAAGACTATAAGAAAGCATTGCAAGCTCCTAACTTGAAAAAACTATCTGCTCGTTATTCAAAACTCTTTCGAATGTTGCTAACCTTGCCGCGCCTTTCGAAGGGGAAGTTTAATCTTAATGTGATTTGCATTTCTCAAACTTTAGCTGTGTTCTTACGTAACAAAAGTACCATTTCTGATCTAAAGAATCTATTCTGAGCTATACGTTCGGTAGATTACTTTTTTGAGTTTCACCCAACTTAATAGTTAACTGTGGTTTTGTCTCGGCTTACTATTCGCTTTTATTTCAGTTTTTCACGTAAAGGCTAGTTTCAGCTTACCGTAACCCTTTTTTATACAATTTAGTGTACTATGTTTCTTTTAACGGTCCTAAGATTTCTGCTTGTATTTATAAGACAGTTTACGTCAATATATTTATGAAAAACTCATGCAAACGGCCTGGATGCAGTTTCGCTGTTACATCTGGCATGTAGTGTGACAACTGCAAAGGTTGGTTACACGGAGTTTGTACAAACCTCACAGAAAATGCCTACAACAGAATCAGTAAATCGGATCTTAGATGCGTATGTTTTGTATGCAACACGGATTCTGTAGTTTTGCTGAGTAACATCATTGTCTGCGGAACGAGTTTTCTGGAAGCTTGTTAAATGACGGTCACACAGCGGGTAGACAAACAAGGACGTGCATTGTGAACAAGAAGAGGGATATCGACAGGTCTACTATCGATGGAGCAGGTAATAGCACTAGTGAAGACATGCAGAACCTCAGCGCCGTCATAACGTCGATGGTTATAAACTCTCTCAGCAAACTTCGGTCTCCCAGAACAGTGGTTTCCAAAAACTCTGTGGGTGATCGGACCTACGTTAAGAGTTTAAAAAAACCAGGCGTCATCGTCTAAGTTGAACATCCCAAGTATTGTACGGAAATCAACTGGTGACTTGGCCGCACAGTCTACTCCCAATAACGTCCGTCCGGTCATCAGAAAGCCTAGGAATCGGAAACGCTCTTCAACCTTCCAAAAAGTAGGAGCGGAACCTGGATGCACTGGGAAACCTGGGAAATCAATAAAGGTTTGTGATGACTCTCTGATAATCATGAACCTTAAAGACAACGCTGACCTTATCCTCAGTTTGCAGGACAAAAATGACAAGATGATCTGAGGATAAATAAATAGGAAGCTTGAACTTCCCAGAATAGAGCCTTTGACGGTCACACGGCTCGCTTGAAGAAAGGACTCCAACCATCATAACCACCCGAGGCTACTTCGTGTAACGCTCAGGAATGCTTCCGACTCAGAGGACGTTCTGCTAGCTAGTCACTTACTAAAATCCGATGAGATCGTAAGAATGCTTCCTGACATACCGTATTCTGATCAAAATGTCATCCTGAACATCCCTAAAGAATCTCGCGAGGCGTCTTTCCGTGGAAGAAATATCATTGCGCAAGGGGTGCAGGAAAATACGGACCCTGCCCAAGCAAACTCTGACATTAGTGGATGGGAATTCATCAAGCAATCCTTGAAGCCCCAAAACATACTGACCCAACATGTGACGAGACTAGCCAAGAAGGACGGATATTATAGACACCGGCTAATGAAGATAACTTTCCCATCCTCCCATATGGTGGCTGCAATTCGAGAAGCATTTCGTGCCAATAGACGTCGGTCGCCAACTGGAATCCATATGTATCCGGATGGGCCACACGACACCAGTATCAAGCACAAAGGCAAATTTTTAGCGGACAATTCCACTTTTGGACTGTCTTGATCGTAAAATAATCGTGTAAAGTACAGGGATTACCAACTCGGAAAACCATGTACAGGTAGGCTACCTGTCTATTCACATAAGGCTCATACAGACAAGCAGGAAGAAGCTCACGCGTTTTGAATCGAAAGCACGAACTACTTTTACATGAATAAGTCAGCTTTAGAGGACTATCTACATCAGGTGGATTGGGATGTTCACCCTGAACTTGAAGTGGATGCTCATAGGGATTACTTACTGCACACGCTCTTTTGTGCTAATAAGCATTCAGTTCCTCAAACGGTCGCAAAAAGCTACGAACAACCTAAAATCATCAAGAACCGCACTCTTCGTTTGCTAAGCCGCAAAAGACAGTTGGGCGGATACAAACGAATTGACAACAACGGCACGCACAGGCAATATAAACATATAAGGAACATATGCACAAAGGCAATAAAAGAAGACAGGCTTTAGTACCAGACCAAGCTTATCGATAAATCTGTCTCCAACCCGAAAAGCTTATTCCGTTATGCAGCGTCTCTTCGACAAGCTGAAACTGGAGTTTCCCAACTGCTAGATCCTATTGGTCCGACCAATAACGACGGGTATGCCGCTAACCTTTCGGTTGAACAATACTCTTGGACATTCCAACCGGCCAACATCAACTATACTGATGAAAGCTTCATCTGCACTGGACTTTCCGAAGTGGACCTGAGCGCTGACCTGGTGCTCCACACATGAAAAAACATTTCTCCCGGTCCGGATATGGTTCATTCTGCTATACTGAGGGAAGCGGCTTCACATTCACTAAGCCGAAGCAAATTTGGAAGCTGGCTCACATCACACCAATTTTCAAAGGAGGTCAATGCAGTGAACCCTCAAGCTACCAACCAGTGACCCTTCTCTCCATACCTCCTAAAATTATAGAGTCTCTAATATACGACGGTATACACGAACACTTGACTGGCTCGCTTCATATCTAGAAAACCGACATTTTAAGGTCAGGGTTAACTTCACTCTCTCTCAGGCTATGGAATGTCCTAGTGGGCTCCCCCAGGGCTGAATACTAGGACCTCTTCTCTTCTTGGTTTACATTAACGATCTTTCACAACAAGTTTCATCTGACTTATCGCTTTTTGCTGATGATGTGAAACTTGGGAGAGAGATACGTGACCAAAAGGATATACTTGCACTTCAGAAGGATCTGACTCGACTTCAAAGTTGGGCAGACGACAACGGACTTACCATCATGTGTGTTAGCACCGTTGCCTTTGCGATAAGTTCCATAGTTGTGAAGAATACTTTTCTCGCGGTATCATCCAAATTGATGGATTTCGCATTTTCACAAAGTTGGTCTGTTAGCAGTTACATAAGAGACACGCAGTTTTGTATGGACTGTCTATAGAAACTTACGAGGCTATTAACAGTGCGTAATTGCTTAATGATGGTCGGTTCTAGTAATCTTGGATGGCCGCCACTTTGCTTTTTAGAGGTCGGATGCCTTTAGTATCAATAGCGTCTCCAAGGAAATCTAAGGAGTGAGTCCCGATTTGACATTTCTGAATGTTTACATTAATTCAATTCTTTAAAAGTGGTTCGAACACAATGTTCAGATGCTGGAAATGGAATTCTCTGTCCGGACTAGCTATCAAACAGTCATCAACATACACATGTACGAAGTTGATCTTTTGCGATTGCGTGACCGAGCACCTTCAGCTAGGTGAAACGATTAAAGCTAATGTTGTCAGCATCAAATGTCGAAGACCTACAGATCTATTGATTTTGGGGATTTATTAACTGCTACACGTTTTTTCTCAATGACGAGGAATCGGTTTTATCAATAATTAATCTTTAAAATAAATTTCTTACATGTAAAAACGAAATTGATATTTCTTAGATTTATTGTCCTTGCTGTAGGAACGTAGAATAGAAACGGTAAGCCTGCACACCAAGCATTGGTTTCGACATCTAACAAAATTGACCGCGTTCCTTGATTAGCTTCGTTCGACCTTCAGATGCAAGAGTTACCTGAGTCCGTTTTAGATATCTTTAAAATTAAGTTTGTTTTCCTGTCCATGTGCTTTCTTATTATGACACTTTGTCTTTAACTGACTTATTTTCATGTACGGATGATGTTTATATATGAGAGATGATCCTGGAATTCGTTAGGTTCACGAAAATCAGTGCCTAGACTTTAATTTATGGACAAATCAATCAAAATTAGGATAACAGGTCTCGGATTTTGGTGCAAAATTCATTCATTCATTAGGCTTAGGAGCGATCTGACATTTTATTGGATGTCAGTTCGCGATTTAAATTCAATCTAATTCCTAACCCTAATCATCAGTTGTAAATCATGATACTCATTCTTAACACTGGTTCATAACCCTCATTTAGTCCAAGTTAGTAGGTGGACATTCCGAAGGTTACTGTATTCTTGTTCAAAGGTCGTCCATAAACCTTAATGTTGCCAAACTAATTCGAGTATATATATATATATATATATATATATATATATATTAGTTACCTATACATATTTTATGTTCGATCAAATACATAATCTTGATAATTGTGAGGTTATGTGGTATACTCATGACAGATTCTGGTTTCCTTGTTTATTGTTTATGTTTACAACTATATAAGCTTCCATCATTGGAATAAGACTGAGCACTTTTTTAGTAAAGCTTATGATAAAGTGCATAACAAAAACCTGAATGTACTAAGACCTGGTTTCTTTTCGAAATTTTCTAGAAATTCTCATTTCGGTTTGTGCTACATACACGTTATGTATATTTCCTTAGTTAATGGATTGCGTAATAACATAGAATTACTAAGCTATAGGCAACTTGTTTATGGGTTTGGAATATTACCAGGTTGAAAATTTTAAGGTTTATATTCGTATGGGTTCTTGAGTTCATAACACGTAATTACTTCGTTCCTCGAATTATTATCCATTATAATCTATATGTGTTTTAAGAACCTTATAACATCTAGCCAGGTGTTGACTAACTTCTCATTTATATTTGGGCTTGTGCTCGTGTTCCACACACGTCTGGTCTTTTTCTGACCCTTTTTTGGGCTCTAGGAACTGTCCAGAGGGGTAACAAAAAAGTCCCAATGGTCACCCTAACAAAAGTTCCATATGGGTAACCTAGCAGTATGTAATTATTTTCTTAAAGTACTGAGAAAGTTAAGAGGGAATTCTATCATAATTCATGCCGTTTTGACCAGGATAATCTTCATCCCGGTAATTCACCTAGTTTTAGTTTAAAAACTGCCTAAAAGGGTATTATGTGGGACTAATATGAATAGGTTAGCATAAAAATGCTCTCTAACCCTTGTAGCGAAAGTACAGACAGGGAGATTCAGTTTTAGAGAACGCTTTATTAAAGTAATTGATTGATTGTTCTTAATACAAGAAGGTATATATTCTGAAAGACTTCCTATAGCCAAGTTTATTATCTAATTCCTCGCTTTTTTTCCAGGTGACTGTAAGATCGAAACAAGAACTTCCAATTTTCGGTACTTAATGTCCACTTCTTGTCCTTTGGTCGCAGATTTCAAGTGTACTTTGTCCTTTATTCATACTTAAAAAGGATTCAAGACCGTAGAATATGGCTAAAATATGAGGTACATGTAGTTACAAATTTTATAACATATATATACTTTTTCATTCGACTTTGACCTCCATGCATCAATTACTTTATAACTTTTAGCACCTATGTACTGTATTCACTCTTTCGGCGATACTTTGCGTAGAAAAGGATTAATATAATATAAAGTGGATACCAGTCATATATTTATTTGAGTTCTGCTTATTTCTAAGGCTAATAATTGTGTCTTGTTACACCAAATTGTTCTAATAGAGCGACGTTCAAAATTTTGACCGAGCTATAGATGACGTTTCAAAATGTCCAGCAACCATGTTTTGCGTTGTGTGTATCAAGTGTTTGCTCATAATACTAACCGCATAGTTTTAGTTGAAGGCTTACTTCAACTGGAGAATACTCGCCGAGTATCATTGTGAAGTTAGCAGGAATAAGGTTTTATGTTCGTAATTGAATTGGTACGAAGAGGGAAAACAGCCACCAGCAGTAATAGCAGGCATTAGAGCCCATTTGAGGTTTTATGACTCTGTAACAGACATTAACTAAGGTCCAAGCGGTTTCGGTATTATGGAATGAGATCATATAATTGACGTTGAGCACCCATAAGATATTGTTTAGGTACATTAAAATGTATGGTATTTTGAATATCAGAAAGCTTAACCATATCAGGAAGCAGTAAAATGAAAACATAAGAAAGCTAGTCTTCAATAATTAAGCTTTTTACTTAACGCCGTGAAAAACTATTTTATCCAGTTAGATTTCCTATAATAGTTATGACTGCTGATTAAAATTGTTTAAGATTACATTTATGTCATATCTGTTTATCAGTCATACCCGATATGCATTTTGTATAGTAACTTAACCTTAAATTAACAGTCCTTTTATATATTTCATTCTAAAAAAGTTTGAGGTCTAGAGTTGCTGGTTTCTACTCTAAGTACCTTGTTACTCGTATTAATCGTAAATAAGTTCCAAACTTTATAAAGTATATTGCCTGTTTGATTCTGAAAATAAGTTTGGGAACCTAAAGTTCATTTCACTTTAGCGTGTTCCGTGTTTTTTATGGCTTCACCACTTCACTTTCGTATGATATCTTTATGGGACTTGTAACTTTGATATTTCAAGCCAAAAATAACCTTTAGTAGTCTAGATAGTTTAAATACTCCCATTTGTTTGGTCAATCTATACCTTAAAGACGCTCGAGACACGTAAATTAAAATTAAAATAAATATTAAACACATTCTTTAATCACTTAAGGGATGATTTATTTGAAGATCTCTAAATGAGATTGCTGTTAGCCATATGAAGTGACATTATTTTTAATATGATTTTTAGTTTGAATTACCTATTTGAACTGGTTATATTTCACAGTAATTGCTTGAAAACGGCTTTTTACCTTTGTAACAACGTGTTCACGACTATGGGCTTCTATGTTATGGTTCATAGTATTCTGATTTCCCTCAGTTATTATTTGCCACATCATTGTATATGTATAAACATATGTAATCTCGTTGCTTATCTATTGTATTCATAATTTTTATTTCATATTTTGTCAGAGTCAATTCAAAGGAACTTGGGTGTGTATCGCCGTCTTGGAATTCGTCTTTTGAAGGTATCCTCTATTGGAAACAAAAAGTAGATTCGCGATCAAAACGTGGCTGTGGTTTGTTTTGATTGGCTATAAATTATTTTCCAGTTTTTTCTGAACACTGGTGCCGATTGAAAGGAAACATTCTGCTTCTTTGCCGTTCTCCCGATAGAACGAGCAATGAAATCTCAGGTGTGGTACTGTTAGAACATTTCACTGTGTCGCGTACTAGAGATGAAGAAATATCCTACTCATTTCGTCTAGGTAATTTTATTGTTCAGAGTTAAATGGCTCGCGCAGATTTCGATTCCGGTGATAAACCTCTTGTATTTGTCGCTCGCTCTGAAGATGAGGCAGAGAAGTGGTGTCATCACCTTAACAAGGCACAACTGGCACCTAGGTTACGGCGTTTTATTTTGCTTCGTGATGAAATACGGAGAATCACAGGATCTGATCCACTGGAAGCTGGAGTTTCTGGTAGTTCAGTTACCACACCAACTATCGTTGAGGAAGGTAATTGTAAATAGTTTTATGAGGCGATCTTGTGGTGTGAATCGATGAACTAATTTTTTTTTTTTCATTTCAGGTTCACTGAATGACGAGGGACTTGAAATTATTCTGAGTAAGTCTACTAAACTCAATTATCATAATTGACAAAGTGCATTCAAAGATATGTTTCACTCTGTGATTGTTTTTTGTTATTTTTCGTAAGTGGTTTTGAAGCCAGAGATTCCAATCGATGCCTAATGGTTCTTCTTTAGATGGTCTATATATACTCACTAAAATTAGTCAATAATTATTGAAACGCATAGAATTGTCGTACACTTAAATTTTTTGAAGCGTGTTTTATATCACTTCACCAGTGTTAAGACGTCTTATTTAACTAGCTAAACAATACATTTTTTCCTGGTAGCTATCAACTGACTATCTAGATATTCAGTTTGTTCGTAACGTCTTGGTGTTTTGAATTTTTTGGTGTCAATTGAAGACTAATTGCTACAGACATTTATTTACTATTATTTACTATATATAGACTCAACTGTTTTATTAAATTCATCATTCCATCAAAGTCGGTTATTGATTGACGTAAATATTGTTCGTTCATTAGTTACCACATTTAGATAAAATGTATAGATAGAGATGTGAAGAAAAATCGATTTTGTGCTACGTTACGATTCTTTTGATAGATCACTATTCAGTTTTCGGTCCTTCACGACTCCCTGTTTGGAGTCCTGGAGATAGTTCGATGCAGTGGCTTAAGACTTTTTCAAATATGTCTCAGAATGGAAGCTAGTGGCGATCCTTCTGTAACTTTCTTCATAAAAGCGAGAGTAAATTCTTTAACTCAAATAATCCTTTCTGGTTGTATTTTTCTTAAATGAATTCCCATAACAATAATAATAGTACTAATAATAGTATTAGTAGTAATTATTATCATCTCTAATATACTAATTTCTGTCCATTCTTGTTCTTTTTTATTATACTTACCTCCGTTTCGTTACCTCTTCGCAATTTTATTTTTATTGTATGGTGCACATATATTTTATTGCTCCTTTTAATTAACGTCTATGTATTTAAATAAATAAATAAATCTATTTGGCTGAGGTACATCACGTTTATAAAGTCTTCAACACAGTTCGCGATTCGATAAGAATTTTTTCACGATTTGTGCAATTTATCAGTCAGTTCGATTCATACACTTTTATTAATTATTGTAAGTCTGACTCTGTTCTTTTTGAGCTTACTTGTGTCCGCTAATAAAAATAATCGATTAAACGAATTTAGTTACTACAGCTTGCTGAATTATCAAAATTTCAAAATAGTGATCTATTGACCGGTATTCTCACTCATATCTTGCACAGTCAACTGAATTAATGAGTAAATTAACCTTTGGTGACCAATTATTGTACCTAAAATGAAAGGAAGTTGACTCCCTTAGTAAATATATTAAGGGTGCATATTTCAGGTACTACCTTCTGCATAAATCACTGAAAACTAAGTGATGATACTCACTGAATACAAGGACATGAAATGAATATTCATTGATGATAATATCCTAATTCTTAGTAGTGAGGAAATGAAAACTAAGTTATTTTCACGTGTGAATGTGCAAAGAAAGGATTGTTTTTATTTGTAGTGTTTAATAGAATAAGTTCCCATTGTCCAATATTCATTTTTCTACTGGTTTAGGAGTCAAATAATAGGAACTAGCAGTCGATCATTCGTGTTCATATTATCTGATATTTACTAAATATTTGTTAACTTAGTTGATATTGACTTATCAACCAATATATTTTTTCACAAATGTAGTTTATTTATAAAACAACGATTTTTGAAAGTACATTTTGTGAGATTACTTTGTAAAGGTAACAAAAAATAGTGAAGAACTTGCAAGGAGCGGTCAAAAGTGAAATTATTGATCACTTCACTGTCATGTTGGCTCAGTTGACACTAGGTTATGTTTTGACAAATCCTGTTATTAATTATTAATAGAAAATAACTCTAAGTTAACGGTTTGTGATATACACAACAGCCGTTGTATGGAGGCTAACTCTGATCATTATATGGTCACATTAATACTTAAGTTAAAATACTTAAATAATAATAGGATTCCAAACACTAATAAAAAACCCAAAAGAAGATAACGTAAGGCAATACACGCCTTGACCACAGACTACACCAACATACTAATTAGTTTACTCTAAAACGGACATACTTTAAGTCAAGTAGGGAAAACAATAACTCGAGCTGCTAACAAAGCTGCAATCCTTTATAAGTCGGCTACCAAGTGATGGCAACTTAACACAAGTAATCTCTTAAAATAAGAGATTAAACATAGATAACAACTATGACTAGCCTGGTTAAACAACCCTACCACTACTAATAAAATTCTGTATGTACAAGCTAGTCAATTGGTAAACAATAAGATTAAGTTAGCTAAATACTAATATATCATAGACGGAATAAATGAGATAAACTCATTCTTCAAAAACATGACGTACACTTAGCATATAAAATGCTAGATGATATATTGGCAACCGTACGAAATCAATCCCATAGAGCTAGAAGAACGAATCAAGTTAAATATAGTGATCTTCAATATGGCTATCAAAACCTATTTAGTGCTAAGTTAAAACTAAAAGCTATCCGGCTACCTATAAGGGTTACTTAGGACCCTGAGTTTACACTAGAGGGATCAGAACTAAGTTAAAAAAACATGAATATCAAACTACTTCTGGTAATGATGACATTACTACTGAAATGTTTAAGCATGAGGGAAATAAGTTAACTAAGATACTACTAGACATAATGAATCAAATATGGAGAAATCCACGCACTATCCTAGACCACTGGCTAGATGCAGATGTGATTAGTAAAGGATTAAGATCAGAACCCAATAACTGTAGAGGCATCTTCCTATCAGACACAATAGGAAAGCTATTTGCAAATACAGTCTGTAATAGACTTGTACAGCTAACTGATAGCTACATCCCAATAACTCAATCCGGATTTAGAAAAAACTTAGCCACAACCCATGCAACAACAACATTAAAGTATATAATCCAAACAGTCCTAGATACCAATCGTCCTGATATAGGTTATTTTCACCTTACTGATGACTACGTCATTGATGTATAAGCTTGCCATTGCTATGATAGTCCTCTTTAGTATTACAGGAATCACAGTTCCGAATATTTGGTTTATTTGCGGGGTCGAAAAGCCAATGATGCGAATCTAACGTCATAATATATATATATATATATATATATATTGATATTTCCTTGTAAAAGCTTCGACCAGATTGCTAGGCTAATCTTTGCATTTACTTCAATTTTATTTACTGGTATGCTTTACAATTACATTCTCCTCCTTAATGCCTCTCACCAACCCGGCACTCAATTACTGTGAAACTACTCGATTAACTTTAGACGAAAGTTCTTATATATTGTTTGTTGATTTCTGGTATAGTATGTGATGATATAATATGGTCTTTTGTTAAGTTCATTGATATTTTTTCCATTATCTTGTTTCATATCTTATGCGTACTTGAAATTTTTTAAAATTTACCTGATCTGATTGTATTTGAAGCTTCAATAAGAATTTTATAATTTCTTTCTTTCATGGGTTGAAAATCATAGATTGTTTTTTGATAAACTTGTACAGTGCTATTAAAATGTCATGTTGTTACTATTACACTGTTGAAATAAGTATCTATATGCAGAGTTTTTGAAAATAATTCGATCAATTTTAAAATGACATATTTATGTACTCCAGCTCGCATTTCCTACAGTAGTTTGCAAAGCTTAAAGTTTGTTGGTTTATCATTAAGGAAGAAAGATTGTTCATATTCCATATCTAGTCTTGCTTTTTTGCTGATCTGTATTGTTTTTACTAAAAAGTACCTTATGTTTATGTTCAATTTTAGAATGCCTGAATATTGGAGACATGGCGCATCCTAATGAGCTTCCTAATACTTGTCTATTTGTGTCTGTATCAACTTCACTGAAGAATAATTGGACTCCAGTTGGGGCAACCGAGATAATTGAAGTAATTTGTTCGATTAATAACTATTACTTTTAAAAAATTTTTTTACTTAGCGAGTAAACAAACAAATTAAGTAGGAATCTTGTTTGTTGACAAAACTGGATTTTACGAAAATAGCTGTAAAATGGTCAGAAAGTGAATTGCTTTAGTATTTATAAACCAGTTTGTTTTCAGTTAAGATAGTTCATTTTTGATCGCCGTCTGAGTGCTTTTATTTTGATCAGGCTTTCCGTTAGATCATTACGAACATTGCCTATAGACCATAAGTATTGTTTTTCATCTTCGTTAGCAGTGTTATTCCGGTGCTATAACCCAGTAAACTACTGTAATGATTGATCAGTAAGTTTGTGAACTAAGGTAACTGACTAAATAATTCTTCGCTAAACTTGTTAATAACTCGCAATGATGCGTGCAAAATAGTGTATAAGCTTTTGCCTATATAAAGAAAACTTGAAATATACTGGACAGGTAATCAAAAGTGAAAGTGCGGATCAACTAACGGCTGATGAATTTAAGAATCTTAAACCTAGTGTTTAGCGTCCACAGGGAACCTACATCACACATTATTTTTATTGAAACTTAGCAAATGTTGAGTCTTTAATAGTAATCAGTTGGTGTATAGGTTTGTCAATGAACTTAGGTACATGTCAATCTAATTAAAAGTTATTAAACGTTTTGGAATACTTAAATAGGAATAATATATTTGTAAAATCTCAGCGAATGAATTTGAAGTAAATCCAATGTTTCGCCTGGCAATCTGGTCCAAGCTTTTTCAAGGAAATATAATCAGACATCAAAATTATCGAATATAAATAGGTACATAGTTCTTCGTTTCATTGTACACTGAATAGGTCATCCAATAAGCGCCCGAATACTGTGAAACTATTTGCTCTAATTTAGACGAAAGTTCTTATATGTTTTGGGATACTGGTAATCTAACCAATTTTCATGTTCCAAATGGCTGTGATTTGCGTGATACTATACTTAAAATCAAGTTGATATATTCCCCCTAACAAAAAAATATAAGACTTATCAGACAAACATTATCTGATTTTTATTCTGTATTTTTCATATAATCTTTAGTGTATTTCATGTGATTTCGTCAGTCTTACGTCTAGCTTGGTACTAAAATATAGGGATGATTTAGTACTAAAAATCACATTTTGGTGTAATAAGCTTGTCTCTTTACATCAAGTATATCATCAATGACGTCTAGTTTATACAAGTCACTATCTTAGTAAATAACCGTGATTAATTAATGGACTATGTTAATTTATTTTCTCCTTTTCTTATTCTTCATTATTTTTTCATATCTTCTAAAAAAGAAGAACAACTTAAACGCAAATACTTGTCAATCTAGAGCTTACAGAAAGATCAAGCAGGCAATTTGTGTCACTTTTATGTTGTAATAAAATTTTAAAAGGTAGCAGCTGTGTATTCTTTAGGAATTCCTATGTATTTTGTAAATGATATCTCGTTAGGTTGGTTAGTTTACTAATGATATTTAAAGAGTATTGTTTTAAATCCAGGAAAAACAAATGTGATAAAAATATATGTATTGGTAAATATCTTCACTTAAAAGTAATGGTTCATATTATTAAGATTATGAAATTATCAGAATATCGATTTAGGCCATGTGTTTGCAAGGACCTAGTTAATTATTTCCCTTATCGTCATACTGAAATAATTAGAAAACTGAAATTTAACAACCCCCTTCTTGTACTGATGTTTCAACCATTGGTTTAAATATAAAATTGCCAAATATATATCATCGTTGAAAGCGTGAGTCAATTAAAGCTAGACCACCATGAAAAACGTGGAAACACTGGACGGCCGTTTCGTCCTATTATGGGACTCCTCAGCAGTGCGCATCCACGAACCTGCTCTCGCGAGCGAGATTCGAACCCAGGACCTACCAGTCTCGAGCCGAAGCTCTTAACCGATAGACCACTGAGCTGGCATCCAACGGTGTTAATGTCTAACTTCAACTGATCCACGAAGAGTCCCATAATAGGACGAAACGGCCGTCCAGTGTTTCCAGGTTTTCCATGGTGGTCTAGCTTCAATTGACTCACGCTTTCAACGATGATAAATACTAAATCTCCACAAAACCCCTTCTATAATAAATATATATATGTTTACTTACTGGATGTTTCTAGTTTCAAAGTAAAATAGTCGCAATAATGTTCAACAAATGTTTAATTGTACCAAGTTCACCAATTGACGTTAGTGAATTAAGTAAAAATGATCACATGAGAGAGATTTTTAACAAATAAACTTTCCTACTGACAACTTTTCACTTTAACAAAATGGTGATGCAATTCGTCTTCTTGTTACTTTCCAGTTTATTAGTCTTTTTATTAGATAATTGTTGTTTTAAATACTCATGGGTATCTAACCATTTCGGTTTTTTAATTGGTCCATATTTCTTGATTCAACAAAGTTTGTTTTTTGTCTCTACTTATTCATACACAAGTCGATATCACATACTTTAGTAGATAATGGTTGGACATATTTAAGTTAGCACAAAGTCGTAACATTGACTTATTTCAATCAGATAAAGTTCTCTTAACTTCAGCTATTTCCAGCAATTGGTTCTATTGTTTTAAATAATATGTGAGAGCTTAAGAGGTTTTTACTTTTCAGAATGATTATCCCTAAAATTATCTAAAGTTTATGCATTGACTTTACTGTACCAAACCAATCATTCATTAACCTATACAAAACACTTTTATGCAGATAAAAATATTCATGGTAATATAGCTCAAGAGTACCACATTATTGTTTAATGTTAATGCTTCATTTTAGTCACAAAATCGAATTTTTTAATCATTATTATATTGTTATTATTGCATATTTAGTCCTCTCGGAACCCAGTTTTTTCGAAAACAATATTTCTGCGCCACGATTTAATTGATGAGAACAATTCAATACGGTTCAGTTTATTCGATATTAAAGATGTAAAATCAAATGTAGTAAGTTAGTTAATCCTCTCATTTTATGCAAAAATTTACCACAGAATTTTAATTAGGATAATGAACTGATTAATATTAGACTATAGTTGGAAACCAGTGCTTCCAGGTTTACAATGGTGTTCTAACACTGGTCGGTTAATGATCTTAATTAAAAACTCAACAATCTCCACAACCTTATACTGATTATTACAGATCCATTGGGAGTGTTCAAATTAAATACTTGTAAACCTGTTATTATTGTGATTTTATTTTTTATTTCACTTATCGAACCATTGCCAGTAATATACAGTATTTCATATTGTCTACATTTTATAGTCTTCATTGTGAAACGTTTATGTTACACACAAAACGAATAACGTTGTAGATGAATGACATTCATAATACGTAAAGGAAATATGAAAAACTAAACACTCCACGTTCTATTGTGATTAATGCAAATTGACTTCATCATGTAATACGTTACTAGGCTTACACTGATAGTCCTTCCAGTCAATTCATTTTTAAATTTTCATGCTACTACCTAAATGTTATCCTACTTTCATTTGTATTAATCAATTTCTTCTAATTAGATTGGCTGTTTATTATTTAGACTTTATCACTTAACAGATTTGAATTACTTTTTTTCTTTGAATTTTATGTAGAGCGCTTTAATCGGCGAAACAATTACAACACTAAAAAAATTATTGGATAGTTCATCTCTTCTGTTACCATTACGTGATGATTGTTCTAAAATATCTGTGAAGTATGAAGGTTTAGAGACGACGATCCCATCAATAATTGTACATTCAAGGAAACAGAAGCCATTAGATTTCACAGCAGCTAAGGTAATTCGTAATATCATCTCCTTTCATGTTAAAGTCCACTGTTTTTTGACTCTGTTGTCTACTCAACTACTCTGAAAGTAATAAAGTGATTTTTAATTTTTTGTGTGTATGAACTGTTAAGATAGGCATATACTTGAATGAGTTACAATCGAGTGTATTTATTTACTTTTTTTGTTTTGAAAACCCCCTTAAGTTTTTTAAAATTTATCCAATACACATTTATGTACCCATCTTCGAGCTAAACTATTTTTGCCAGTCATTCATCTGATTAATTTATTGACACTACATATCCTGGCCAAATAGTAGTAGGTAAAGCTAAATTCGTACGTGTAACTTATTGGTTAAAGACCGAGTTCTCTAATTAATGAATTAACTGTTTCAATATTTATTCATGTTACAGGTCGTTGATTTGTTTGACTATTATTTGTTTAATAACGATCATATAAAATATAAAGAGGGAATTTATGAAGGTATTCATGTACTAAACATATTGTAAGGAATCATAAGTTGTGATTACGTAATCTCTATCCCAATGTCAAAGTAAAGAATATTTCGAATTTTGTGTTGGGAAATCGAACATTAATTCACTGAATGTCTTTAGCTTATTCTAGGTGGTTTCTTTGTTTTATTTGTACACATGTTTCTTTTTTTTATCATTTGTTCTATATATGTTACTACTTCTTAACGTAATGAAATACTTTTTCTGTGTTTAGTAAGTTTGATGGTATATTGATACTTTTAATCATCTATTGTTATTTTCTTTCGAAGAAAAGTAGATATGTGTTTTGGTAGATAGTATCTTAATCTGAGCGTCCTTTTTTCAATATAAAAGTACAATTATCACGGAAATTTTATTAGTTTACTATCAGTATATCTAATGTAGACAACAAGATTTCTGAATTAATCGGTTGTTTTAACACTTGATAGTGGTATGAAAATCTTATGTTTATTATTCATAATAATGATTAGTTAGTATTTGTTAAACCAAATTATCAATCACATGTTCTACGCAAATTTTAAGCTTTAGTCAAATTAAATATTTGTCAATCTATTAAAATTTAGTGTTAAACTAACGAAAATTATTCCTTAATCAATTTAAACTAATATTCTTATAAAAACAGTATTGTTTTTATATAGTTGAAATCATGAGTCAATTGAAGCTAGACCACCATGGAAAAGCTGGAAGCACTGGATGGCTGTTTCGTTCTATTGTGGAACTCTTTAGCAGTGCGCATCCACGATCCCGCCTCACGAGATTCGAACCCAGAATCTATTAGTCTCGCGCGCGAGCACTTAACCGACAGACCACTGAGCCCGCTGGCATCCAACGGTGTTAATGTCTAACTTCAACCAATCCACGAAATTGAGCAACCATTCACTAATATCTATCTTCAATTGACTCATGATTTCAACTATATGAAAGTTACTAAAATCTCCAAAAAACTCCCTTCTGATAATACTTTTTTTAATTAATAAAATCAATACATTGATAATCAATCATACATTGTAAATTATGTGTTTTGTATTTCAATTTTGTTTACACTACCTACCTTGTTTCCTTTCATATATCTCTACAGAAAATTTTTAGATATTTTGTTAATTAAAATAAAAAGCTGATTGATGTTCACCTTTTTCTTTGTGCCAGTAGGTAGCATTACTTAGGTGCTCATATAAAGCATGATTTTGAATATGCAACCTGATGATTAAAAAAACGAGTGGTTTATTCGTTGAGCTGCTATTTTCGGTGATTGGTTCATTATGTTTGTTCGTAACGGATTTGAATAATATAAGCGAATAAGAAACAAATTGGCTTGGGGCGTTGGAATGTCTAATATGTATATGTTATCTGTCGATCTCATGCCATTTGCAATATACCACCACGTATTTCATGGATCTCAATTAAAAAATTTTCCGATAGTCTCATAACTTTAATCAATTACTTTGGTCTTATGTTGATGATGTCGTTTGCTTAGCATTGCTTATTATTATTTACAGTTTAGTAAATGGATATGTACATGGCCACTTGATTATATTACTGTCATGAATATTCTGAAATTTGTATTGTGAGTTAATCGTATGTTTCATTTTTCTAGGTTGATGCTAATATGTTGTCATTACGTTCAGTATGTGATAATCTATTGTCTAAACGATATAAATTTCAAGATTCAATCGGTGAGACAATGCATATTATTGAATTTATGGGTGAATCAAAGCTATGCTATGCTTTCCCGATAGAATATCTGTAAGTTTAAATTACTAGTATCATTTGTTGCTTATGTTTCACTCGATACTCTATCAGTTTGTTATAGTGAAAATATGTAATGAAGAGGTTAGTTAGCTGACCCATCTTAATTAATGATTTATTTTTATTGATTAGACAGCGCACAAATAGTTATAGATGGTCGTTTTAAAAATATGTTACTATTAATGGTCAGAAAGATTTAATTTCATCATTGTTTCCATTATGGGTTATGGAATTAAGATTTATAGTATCTTTTTTTAGAAATATAACCTAAAATTTATGGCCAAGACAGGCTACTATAAATGTTTATCACTTATGTTGTTAATTATAATCTATAGCTTTGATAATTTAACTTCAGTTCATTTCGGAGGGATAAGGCTTGGTACTGGAGTTAAAAATGTGTGTACATAAATAATGATGTAATACTCTTTCTATATATAGCTATTAATAAAGTGAATTCCCTCCAAAAGGTAACTTAAATTTCTAGGTTTAAAACTACTCTTTCATTTACTTACATTTTTACGTAGAAAATTAAAATTTGACTAAGTGAAATAATTCAATGTATCCCATATTTTCACAGTTGTTTGCGATTAGTTCTTTTATAAGGAAGACCCGTTTATTGTAAGAAATTGCAGGGAGCTGAGATCTTTGATTTGATCAAAACGAACTATATGATTTCCGATATATTAGTCAGATAAAATCAACTGACAGTTATTACTGGATAGTCGAACTACATTTTGAACGTTATCAGCAAGCTAAGATTGGTTATAAACTGTGTAGAACTAAAGTATTAATCAACTATTTTCCTATAGGCAGAATACGTACGTGTACATAACTGTAACTAGTCTAGTAGTGAATAGTATTATGATGATTATGTTCTAACTATATTATAAAACTGAGCCAATCAAAATGAAGATATCGATTCAAAATGCAATATCAGCTAACATTCTTTCATAATGTAAGCCAATGCTACATTATCATAGAACGTTTAGAAGGAATCTTGTCATACATTGCAATTTCTGTTCGCGAGTTTGCTCTGATTTAGGTAAGACTTTGGCAACCCACCATTCTGTACAAGTGTTATAGCATAGGTTATGCATAAAAATTATTTCCACATGAATGTATGTGCTTTTCTAGAACTTAATGTAAAAAATCAAAGGTATTTAGAATGATTATGTTTACATTAATATTCTTTTTGATATTTTTCTTGTAGAAAAACTTTAATTCAGTCAGAATATTTGATATATGACTCTTTATCTCGAACTGGATCGGTAAGTTTTGTTTAAATTTGGAGTTTAAAATGTGTGAATCATTAGTTTCTATATATTATGCTTTAATTTTGGTAAAGGACGGAGAACACTCACATTCAAGATGTATGATAAACTTTGATGACAGAAAATGATATAGTTCGGGGCAGACAAATATCATATAATTTTTTCGTTTACAAATCTAGGCAGTATGTTACATCGGTTATATTACATTTTGATGTGTATATCAATCTATATTGAACTTTGCATGCGCTTTTCGCAATATGAATTTGTAGGTCATGTGATCATTATTGTAAGGTCAGATATTATGGAAATTGTTGTGTCTTATAGACCAAAATGATGTACTAAATCATCAGCTAGATCCCCGACTTTAATTTCGTTAACTTCGCGTCTACTATTACTCAACGGCTTGGTGTCTCTGTCTTGGCCAATTGCACGTCCGACCAGAACTAATAATCTGAGTCAACAGCCAAGCTCCTATTGGTTTACTACCCGCAAGTTATTCACCATGGCCTGTCTTTGAGTCCAAAAGTCAACAGCCAACCTGTGCTATACTAGATTTATATTTTAAACAGACGTATTTTACATGCAGACATACCGGACCGAATTATACCATAAATTAAAGAAATAACAATTATACATGAAGAAACAAAAAGTGATTTTGGGTAGGAGAGACTGCGAATAATAGACTGGCAACAAATAAGGAATATTAAGTCTTACAACAGTAGTTTGTAGGTTATCCGAAAGCTTATTATAAAAGGAACACATATGCATAGTAATTTAGTAACCTAATAATTATGCAACAAAATTATAATTAATAATTCGGAACATCACTTCCAATTTTTACAATATCTGTTCAAACCATAAGTCACATCGAGTCAGGAAAGAACTTAACAGAGATAAAATAAATGGTCAAAGCAAGACTTGTGTTTTATATTCTGTTGTTTGAATGGTGTTTTTGCTTTCGGTAATACATTGCTAGTGAGCTTCAAGTCTCAAGGAAGTTGTTCCACAACTAAATATCTTGTTGTAGCTTGAATAATAAGTTAATGATAATGGGGTACCACTAATCGGTATAATGAATTGATAGATATGGTAAATAATTACCCTAGGTTAGGTAATTAACACAACAACTTTACCTTAACGTGAAATCCAAGGATATCTAGGCTACGAAGTGCTTTCTCCACAAAAATTATTCAGGAATTCCAGCATTTTCCAATTTACAGCTGTTTTTCCGTATAGGTTTTGTCGTAATTCAATCCGTGTTGTTAGGAATTTTGATTCTGGTCGATACTTCTAGTGATGCTGGATTTCTGTAAACTGAATGCTGTTTCATCGTGAAGCCTTCATTGTTTTGGGCAACGAAAACAAAAGCTGATCAAAAATATCACTAAAAACTGGATCTTAGGAAAAATGCTAATTGTTTTTTGTGATAAAAACGTATTCCTAACTGTATTTTTTTGCCAAAAGATTACCTTTATTTTTTTAACTGTTATTTTTTCCCCAGTCGAAACCTGTTATTGAAAGCTTACGAAAAGAACGAATGATTAGCATGAAACAAACATTGGAACGATACGAAGCTAATTTAAGAAATTTAGTTGATTACTCTGGTGTGTGCTAAAAGTATATATGATAATATTACGTTTTACATAATGGCTTGGCTATTCATTTACTATCATAATTGCGTCCACTATTCGCAGCTGTTTTCTATTGGTCCATTATATTGCGCTGTTGAAGCAAGCTAACACTGGAACGACTACATGTACTCACATTTACTGCTAGTTTTAAATAGGCATTCATGTATATTGATTGACTATTTTGTATTGACAGAAAAGTACACATTGTTTTGCTGGGTCTTGCCTTGTTGTTTAATTCAATCTGTTTTTTTAGCAAAAAAAAAACAGCCAAAATATTATCATTTTTTGCTGGAGGTAGCATACTTTTTAGTTGAGAATGTCATGAAAATCGCTAACAGATTAATTTTTCTTTGATTTTCTCTGACTAATCCACTTTAGAGTGAATTGGTTTGAATAAGTTGACTATAATTTATTTCCTTAATGTCCATTTTATGTCTAGATGTGTTGTGTATGTAAGAGCTAGTAATGATATTCAGCTGACTAAACTATATTTAGTGAAGTTAGGTTCGAATTCGCCGTCTAAAGGTTAAAAATCTAATGCTCTGAACACGAAGCCTCCATCCCAGGTAATTGCTTTGTCTTTATTGTTAACAACATATCTGAACTTCACCCCACTAACTGATTGGCTGAGCCATACAATGTTCAGTGAAAACATAAATTGGTGTAATCTGCCGCTGTTCTTCACAATAGAAGAAAGGTATCAAAATATAGACTAAAAAGCAATATAAGTAGACAGGTTATTGACTAGCATAACGTAATAAAATATTCAATATACCAGTAGGATACAGTGAGTGTATCTGAATACATTGTATGTCTCAATATATTAATATATATATTAATATATATTAATATCTTCGGTGACTTAGCTAAATTTTCGTTAGTTAAATAACTATAATGCGGTTAAATATCTAGGTTTTCCAATAATGTTTTACTATACAGAGCAGGTTCGTATCCACATGCGATGGTGTAAAAACTGTACAACACAGTCTATTAAACAAAAAAGACTTCAGGATGGTTTTTGTTATTTTTTGTTAGCTAGATATAGATAAGTCGAACTTCTGCAGTTGTGTGTAATTTTAAGGTTAATATAATTCTCTTTTTACTGTTTGAGTGCATCGTTATTAAGGATTACCGCTTTTTCAAATAAATTATGTTCTAGAAGTTTGTGTACATTTCTATCGAACGAATAATAAAATTATTAATCATTCTTGCTCATCACATTAGGAGTAATTGTGTTGCGAATGTCCTTACTGGTTTGTTATTTGCGTACAAGCGACTTTGAGCGACAAAATTTTGAGTTCAGAATAGATCTAACTTGGAAAACGAACTAAAGAGTATAGTAGGAAACTAAATCTTAAAAAAATTCGTAAAGAAAAGTGATTTTTAGGAGAAATGTACGAACTAGTGATATATTCATGACTTGAGAGAAAAAGGAATCTGTAAAATCGTCGCCGAATTGTTTTTTATGGTCTCGTCATGTATGCTACGGTCGGATCACAAATCTCGACTAGCGCTTATCCACCTCTGACTCATATAAGATTAAGCAACTTTGTGAACCGGTGCCTATGTTTGGTCTATATTTACCAAGCTTTTTTTAAGAGTACCCTTGCCTTAACTAACCAAAATCCCCAAGGTAACCATTAGCTGAGCTGAACATATGTCGTAAATATATCAGCTAGTAATAAGTCACAACCTTATCAACTAAATTATCAGTACCACATTATCCAAAATCACTTCAGCAATTAGTGTTTCTACCACATGACATCAGCCCACAAAAACACTGGTTTTTTATCGAGTCATGTAGGTGGATGCGGGGTCTGTGTGATTGTCGTAACCATTAATCCATATTTCCTGGAATCTTATCTCCGATGCTCAGTCTTTTCAACCACCGCTAATACTTTTACTATATTCACTACTCTGGTATTTGTTTTGATAATTTCATCTTGTGCAAACAGAATGTGACATCTTGAACCGATGTTCACATATGGCAGGTTCTACGCTGTATATGGCTGAATGACTGGTTGAGATATTCTTTTCCCTATTGTCTGTTTGTATTTATAACTTAATTGTTTGAGCACCATTAGTGTTGAACATCATTAGGTGTAAATCATAACTGTTAAAAAGTGTTGAGTCTGAATTTTCTGGTATTCACTACACATATCCCACTTTTCAATAATCCTCTTTTTATTAAGAACACCGTTCACATTCAACTTTCCATCTGTTTTATCTTGGATCAGTTTTGAGAGCTAAGTTGAAATCAACTAGTATAACGTAAACCAGTATATAATTATTGTTAATAAGTTATTTCAATTCAAGCGTTAAAACATATTCGTATAGTTTTTGAATAAATTGAGCATTGGGTAGATTGTTATAAGTAAATAATATATTTGTAATATCCCAATGAGTAGAAAATCTAATTTTTCTACTCATTGGGATATTACAAATATATTATTTATTTATATTCGTATAGATTTACTTTTTATAATTTATATTTTCAAAAAAAATTGTTCGGTTTAAAAAAACTTTACTGATGCTATAGGTCCTCTATTCAAATCATCTAGTGAACGTGCTAATCCTCGCTATGATTTTGTTCCGACCAATCTTCACGTGAATCAGATAGCTTTAACAGATGTAGATGGTCAACTAGGTAAGGATAAAGAACATATTATTATTATTATTATTATTATTATGGTTTATAATGTATTATATCATGTGAGAAAATTAATATCAGAACTGGCATTTCTACTGTGATCAGATTCTTTGTACCGACTAGTTTTATTTTTATCTGTTCTTGGAAATCAACTGTCATCGTAATAGACTCAATTGATAATCACTTCTGCTATTGAAAGGCAAATTCCTCACTTATTGGTGGCTGGACAGAAATCATACGCCGATTGAAACAAAGTAGAACTTGAAGGTTTCTATAATTTAGCACCGTTAAGTTTGATCTTAACCTTTCTATCTGTTTTAATTCTGTCCATCGTTTAGGTATAAATACTTATTTCTATCTAAAAGGCAGAGAAAAAAGTTCTAGTTAGTTTAGATTTGTGTCACAGATGTTATGAACATATGGAACTTAGCCTATACACTGATTCCATAGGTTTTAAGTAATATTTTGGATCCCTACTGAATGTTACTGTATTATCCAATGGTGATAAGAGAATGGAACGGGAGGTCTAAAAGCTAATACATTCAGCTTTCAACTTTTATTTTACAGACTTGAACTCCATCTAATTCGATTTGGGCGTTTCCATAGTATCACTACCCTTTACACAATTAAAATACCACTGAAAGTTGAGGACATAAGCATGTACTTAGGAAGTGAGTATTGTCGATGGAATAATAAATCTTAAACGGAAAAACTTTTTACAGAATTCTCTGATTTTGTTTAACTTCAGTTCTTAGATCTACTGTGTAGATCCACATCATATAATTCAGGTGACCCTTGGTTTGAAAGGAGAAGCATGTCATTAATAGGAAATTAAAGAAATGGACGAATCACTCTAATCAGTTACTTTTTCGACAGAAATATCTGTATTACAATTATTAGTTGTCATGGATACATTTTACCTCTTCTTTGATATTTATTCGGAAGTAAAACTAGAGCTAACTAGTTTGATTGAATGATGGGTACTTCATCAACATACCAATATGAGAAAATTCTGAAGCTGCTCAAACTATCGAGTATTCACCCTTTCCAGAAAGTACTTAATTGGGTAATTTTCAAGAGTCATAACTTGAATGAATACATATTAGTTCCCAGGTTTTATACGTATATATATTTTTTGAATCTGTTTATATTTATTAGAATCAGGAATAATGACTAATTGCGTAATGAGTAAGACTATGATATTTAAAGTTGAAACTATATTATTTATTCATTCTCCTTATTTTTAGCTTAACAAATAGTTGTTTATTATGCTAGACATAATGATATTCAGCAGCAGTTTAATATTGAACTGTCAATCATTAGATGATGTACTCAATTTGTTTTCTACAGCTAATTATATTCAGACACATGAACACTATCATTAGGTTTCTTAGAATAGTTAAGGTTTAAAATCTATTTCTTGATGCAATGAATCTACATTAGTTGATGAATTAATTCATATTATAAATAATAATAGAAATAAGTCATTAAGTTAACTATTCACAAATTAACAAGTAAGTACTATATTCATTATCATAAATTCAGTATGTCATTTATATCTAATCAGTAGATGTAGACCTACTTTGATTATATTATCATTTCTGAGTTACTGTTTATTATTACTATTTTATTGGAATGTAAGCATCATCGTAGATTATTACACAGCATTAAGTGGTAGTAATGGTATTTTCTTCTTAAAATTCAATCTGGGTATTTTCTCAATTTCAGTGGTCACTTATGATAAATGTAACATACCTTGATTTTTATGTAATTAGTTTTTAAGGAAAAAATGTCTTAAAACGTTTGCTTAATTGTGGAAAGAAAAGATAACTCATCGAATTCCAGTAATACTGATATATGTTGTTTGAGATGTTTACCAAAATAAAATATGATTCTTTTAACTGTTGAATGTTAGCTTAAATCATACGGCTTGATAGATTAGATCTATGAGGTTGATCAATAGTTGGAAAATTTCGATGTTATACTTTGAACTGTAAACTAATACGTTGACTGTATCTTACCATATTTAATTAGTGTGTTATTTTCATGAAGAATGAAAATATTTTAGTGAATTGTATAAAACAAAGGAATTATTATTGTTTATTGTGTAGTTTATAACGTGATCTAACTATAGAGGAATGAATATTATTCATTAGGAACTAAATTATTCTTACTGGAACTAAAGTGTTTATTTTTTAAGTATATAAACCTACGCAGTTGTAGATTATTTCAGAAGTAAAACAAAGTAATGAGTTAGTGAACACATGAATAAAGGGGATTGTTAACGGGATATAGATTTGACTAAAGCATGTTCCGTGCAGGATTATGATGTAGCACGCTGATTGGCTATTTCTTAACCAATCAGCACTAGCGGATACTTGGAGGAAACTCTAGAATCTTCTTATGCAAAAACTATAAATATACTAAGGTTTCTCATTTTGTGATTCCAACTTCCATCTACCTTTGTTATTTAGAATATAATTTCGTTCCTGTTCAACCGTGTTCTGATTTGAGGACTTGTCGAGTGAAGTAGTGTCCAAAACTACTAAGCAGTAGGAGACATTCTAACAGAGATATACGATGAAATTAGACCTAGAATGTGTCCGTTTTCAATGGGAAATTCACTGAAATTACAAATTTGTTGTTTGTTATTTATTAGTTGACAACACTAATCAATCAGTCAGGTTATCGACATGCTCCCTCAATAACTTATAATGTACGAAACTGAATGTGTTACTGGCAATTGCTCACAAATTTTAACGTTCTAATATTATTTTAGAATATAAATTAGTCTTTTTAATTAAGTTCTAGAGTATATACCACTGTTTCAGTTATATGACTAAAAATTGTGTCGATTACACTCGTGTTTTTTACTTTATTCTGAATATTCAGTTGACTCGTTCTATGATTTTCTTTTTTTTTTGCTTTCATTTGTTCCCTGTATATGATATTTCTCATGTTTAGATTTTCATTTCAGTTAGTTATTATCTCCTTTCTGTCCCCGGTTTATTAATTTTCCCATCTTTCGTTGTCATAATATGAGACGGCTTCGATCAATACACATTCTACACCGATCCGCTTACTTTGTATTTTTTTTAATATTCGAACGGCGAATCAGCCTACTTATATGTCAGATGTTATAAAAATGAAGATTTCTTGATTTTTCCAAATATTCAATTTGTCCGAACTTTTCTATTCTGATTTCGTCATCGTTTGTCTGTTTCCTTCTTTTCTTTAAAAATTTCAGTTTCCTCGCATAATATAATATCTGTTGGTGCATTCTCATTGGCTTCTCGACGTTATAAATCTGGTGGATTATTTCGTATGGCATTCGATACTATGATTACACCAACACGTACCTATCCACCTTCAGAATTATCTTATTTAAATATATCATCGGAATCACCTGTAGCTTCTGCTACATGTCTTTTAAATACAAAACCAATTGGTAAATCTATGGATTTATTATATCGTGGAACACATTCTATTGCTTTATTAAGATCCGATTTAGCTGGTCTTATTCAAAGATTAAGCGCACCTGGACAAGCTGAACCATTAGCTGAACGTATGCAAAAAACTGTACGTTCTTAAAAAAGTTTATATTTTTATATTTTTGACTTTTTGTGTGTACATTCAATGAAGTAAACCTTTTTCTTAAAATAACCCATTGTGTTATTAAATAAAAATAAAGAGAATTCAGCGAAGGAAATGTTTTCGACAAAATCATCCACTTAAGCTGTACATTCGTGCATTCAGGCTGGCCTACCATTCACGGTAATGTTAAGGATAAAATTCTGCGTTAGGCCACATCGATGGGTGTTTACAAATTTGCTTACTCTTGTTGGACAGGTTAAATTGGTCGCACAAAGTGGTCACTTCCCAAACTGACTTCAGAACAATACCCGGAGTGGCTTTTCAAATTAGAATACAAATCAGTCACCAGTTCAATACAGGAGCACCTAATCAACTCTGGACACGTCGCTCCAAAGGAGTCTTCCTTCGAAATAATCTACACAACGAAAGGAACTGGATCAAAGGGAAAATGAACCAAAAGCTTACGCGCTGCTGAGGCGTTGGCGATTCACCACTTCAAGCCCGAACTCTGCGTGCACTGATGATACATCCAACAGCCCATCCTTCCTTGGCCTTAATTCCATTCTGTAGTCTGTTTTTTTAATTACTGTCTTGTGATTTTAAACCGTAATCAGTTACTATTATCGTTTAACATTTCTCCACGATTATTATTCAGTTATTATTATGACCTTAATGATTTTGATTTTCCTTCATGTCTGTTGAGCGGACAATTATCTTTGATAATTTTCACTCGTAAATTATTTTCATCCTTTTATTCTTATCTGACCCCCTGATTTTTACACAACTTGACTTGATATTTGAAATTTCGAATCACTTTATGACGCAATCTTTTCTATCTTTTTACAGACTTATATATTTACCAAACAATTATAAATATAAATGTACAGCTTAAGTAAATGATTGCACCGAATAAAAATTTTTCCTCGCTGAATTGTCTTTTATTCCTTGGAGGCTTTATTTTATTATATATAAAGATGTTCAATAGAGGTTGTCATGTGCGTTTTTCAGCTAAAAATATTTTGGCATGATTATGTAAAATAATAATTTCTAATAAATATTCTGTCGGTATGCTCAATTCTGTATCAATGTGATAAACGCAAATGTTATTTGTAGTTATCGTGTCATGATCACCACCTCGCAGCATGGTTGTTGCTTACGAAATTGAGAGAACGAAAGCGAATGTCCGGCGTTTTAATCAGGTTGGTGGATATAGAGGATCCACCTAGGGAAGTTGGAAAACCCTAGTTCTATGGTGAACATAGGCTCCAGGTTCTTGAGGGAACAAAAGGAGTATGAATTTATTGTTGGTCACTGGCTACCATGGGATTGCATCTTCTAACGTTACTCCATTGCCTTATGGATTAGACCTCTAGGTCAAAGGCTCGGGGAGTGGCTTCTTAAGAAAACCACCTGCTTCGGTTTGGATGCCTGTGTAGTATTCCATCCCTCACACAAATCTAATAATTTATATGGCGCATTTATATTTCGTGCCTTTTTGTACCAATATCTGTATGTTTAAATAAATAAATATGCTGTTATAATTACTTGAGATGATTATAAACTTTAATCCATGTACTTATCATTAAATAAATGATTTCGTTTTAATTTATTTAAATAAATTAATTCCTTTATTTCACTCTTTAGGTATCGTCTATACAATGGATATTTTCAGATAAATTATTATCTAACTTAAATGTTTTACCAATTGTTTCATGTGATTTCGAAGTAATTATCACTTTACTTACACAATTATCATCAATAGAAATAACGAAATCAACAAATTCACAGTAAGATTTAATTTGATTGTTGTGTTAACAATTTCTTTTAAGTTTTATTTTCATTTTACAAATAATCATTTTCAAAGTTCTTTTTTTTAATTTTTGATTACAATAATTAGAATTGTAAGCAAAGATGGATAGTGGCTAGCAGTGGAATCCAGGACGCGCGTCCTATTTGGGACTCGTCAGCTGCTTCTCAGATTTGGTGTTCACTCTGGGACTCGAACCCAGTACCTTTCGCTTTAAACGCCATCGTGTTATCCACTCAGCTACTGAGTTCTGAATTAAAGCTATATTGAGGCAATACACACAGTATGCACATATGCCAATTAGAGACTGACCAGTTGCAGTTCTAAACATCAATGGAAAGATTCAAACAAACAATACTAAGTGAATAATTAGAATTGATTATTATTTATTAAAAGGTTTAATATACGAATTCAATGTATTATAAAGTCAGTCATTGTTATAATAATAATATTTTATTCACAATAACTATAAGCTACATGAGGCATGCTAATTTAAAGGCAAGATCAAATGCTTGCAAATGTCACAATATCCACCGTAGTAAACTTAATTTCCCAGTTTGATCGGTGCGTTATAACAAAAAATTTTGTTGTGGAAACAGGATAACACAAACTGTTGGTTCATAAAAACACGATTTTTAGGATTAAACCCAAAATATACTACGTGAAAGGTGGCACATCATATGGATGCTTCATTACAAAGATGAACTTTTGGTTGTATATGTTGTACATATATCATACAGCCGTCATACAGTTGAAAAGGTCAAATGTTTACATAACTTAGTGTTTTTTGTTACTGTTCTCCAGGTAGCTACTATAACAGGAGTTTTGTTAAAAAATTTCTATCAGAAGTACGAAGAAAGAATACGTCGGCATCCTTTGATATACTTATTCTTCTCATAAAATTTATTTAGCTACCAATCGATGAAAGTCATTACTTTCTCCTTTTGAAGCTGTAATATCATTAAAAATACTGACCATACTAAATTACTTGACGGATAAATTTTCAGCACTGGTGAATTTGCGCATTATAGCGTTTGTAATCTGACCATCAGTACGCTAACATGGTCAAGCAATAATGATGTAATTTCTCACTTGACTAAAAGTTCATTCCAGGAAAAATATATAACTGTTTTAGATTGAAGGAGCTAGTTTGAATAAAGTGTGCGTTGCATTTGTGCACTTTGTGTAAGCGCTACTGAACTTCGTAAACTTTCACTTTCACTTTCGTTTCACCACTTTTGACGTACTGGATGCAAATGTTAGATCCTAGCTCCAGCTTGTAATATACACATTTTTATTTTCACGTAATCTATTTCTTTTTCATGTTCAGCGTACACAACTCTATAAAAAGTTTGTTGATTCAAAATCAACTGTTCAAGCTTTCGTTGTTAAATATCATTCTCAGTAATGTCGTGTTAGTGATATTTCATGTAAACATTCAATCTGATTTCAACTTAACTGAAGGCTTGTTCTATTTATTAGTCTCTCTCTCTTTCGCCGTCGTTTGAAAATGCATTAAAATTTTCACTGTCAACAATTTATCGTCAACTAATATATTAGTTCATTTTGATTAATCTTGACTTATCCTTTTTAACATTTTATATAACTTGGACAACAGTGTTTCCAATGGCATTTGATAACACTGAATACTAAATTCTTAATTGTATTAGTTTCTATCCTAATTTGACATTCTTTTCTTAATAAAGAGAAACGTTTTATCATTTTTTTATTCTATTCAAATGTAGACTATCACAATCCAGTGATCGTGTAATAATTATAAATAAAAAGAAAAATGAGTCTCGTGAAAGTTTAATAGATTCTTTAGATAAAGCTGGTCAAAAATTATCGATTACTTTAGAACGTATATGGGAAAGTGTAGCATCAGTGCTATGGGATCATGTCTTGTCAGGTCTTGCAGATTTATCAAATCAACAAAGTCTATCTGTTAGTAAAGAAGGTGGTGGTAATTATTCTGATTTAATTGCTGAAGCAGAACGTTCCGCTTATCCTAATATGTTACCAATAAATGATAATGTACTTACTGCCGTTTCAATTATTCAAGATTCATTCAATTATCGACATCATGCATGTGTTTGCCAGGTAGATTATTCAGTAACATTGTTTGATTTATATTCTTTAGTATTTAACAAAATTCTATCCTCTATTATTTTTCCTGAAGGGTATAAATTGAGAGATACGACTTAGTAGGATTTATGATGTACTAAATTATGCTTATTTCTAGAGGTGAATCAGCTTAATGTTGGAAACATTCATTCTATACTGCTTAAATCCTAAAAGTTTGAATTTATACTCATGGTGGTCAGCTGATTTCTCCTAACACTTCACTAGCTGATTTGTCTGCATAAATGTAGATACAGCATTGGATAGTATAAAATAAGTTCTACTGTTTAGAAGTAATCTCTTGTTAGAAATTTGTTGAGTTTTTTTTAATCAAAGCTTACTCTGTGAGAAATAGAACTCAATTTATTTTGGCTTCAATCAAAGAATATATTTTACTATCTACCAACAGTTACTCTTTCGAATTCGAATGCATGGTCTTTTTATTTTATGGGTAACATATCTTTGGATATCGAAAGTTTTACTGTAAGCGTATTAGGTATTTCATAAAAGCAATTATATAACAATCAACATATTTCTCCAATCAGCGCCTTTTCATCGCTAATCCTATTTAGTTAATGGAATATTTTTTAGCAAACGCAATAGTTTCCTTTAATCTGTTATATGTAGGTTTTTTTTACCGAAATTCTACAGACTATTTTGATCTATTGTTGCCTTATATTCACTGGATGTATGTCAAAACATTGAACATATGTCCATTAGGCTGATTATAAGTGGTCATTCTAGCTGGTTATTAATGTCCAATTTTAGATGAAAGTTACTATTTATTCTTATATCCATTTGTCTTTTTCTCGATCAGATTTCGCTTTCAGGATTGTTCCATCTGATATTTAGTTTAATTATTATTTCATTATTTAAACACATAAATATTGGTACAAGGAAGCGCCAGATACATATGCGCCACACAAATCTCATTTGATATGTGTGAGGGCTGTGATACTGCCCATGTGCCCAAACTGAAGCAGGTGGTTTTCTTAGGGGTTAAACCTGGAGCTTTTGACCTAAAGATCTGATTTACAAGGCAGTAGAGCATCGCAAGGAGATGCAGTCCCATGGTAGCCAGTGATCAACGATTGATTCATACGCCATTTGTTCCCTCAGGATACTGTAGCCCATGTGCACCATTGGTTTGGAATCAGGGTTTTCCAACTCCTCTAGGTGGACTCGCCTTGTCCACCAACCCGGTTAAAGCGCCGAATATTCGCTTTTCGTCCTCTCAATTTCGTAAACAACAGTAATGCCACGAGAAGGCAGTGAGTAGAACTTTCTTGGCGGAGGCTATATATTCGCTGGCCATGTGAGAGCATTTCGAGAGGGAGAGCGGACTCTCCCTACTCTCGGCCGTTTGGGGGCTTTAGTTTAATTACAAATGCTTTCCGAATTAGATGTCTTTTGAATATGTGTGTTGTTAACCACGAACGTTTTTCCACTGTTACTCAACGTGTTTATTAATACTGACACAGTCGTGTTTATTTTCCTGAGAAATGTAGCTTTTAACCTCAGTTCTTACGGCGTTATCAGTACAAATACCCCTATGGGATCGCAAAGATTGGGAACAAGCTGCTGTATGTGGTGTCCTAGCTCAGTTTGAAGGCCTTCTAAGCTGCTATGGTGACGAGCAAGGAATGATTGAAGATTGGGCATGGGCAATTGATTATTTGTTGACGTATCGTGTTACACTTCGTCCATATGGTAACTTTTCTGATTCCGTAACTGATACGAATGAAAGAAATTCCGAGGATACTGACTCGAACGTTCCCACCTCGAACCGTTGTGATGCTGAAGAATTTCATTTGGGTTTCAAAGTCACAAGATTGAACGAATGCGAGGTATTCTCTCTAATTTTTGATGATCCTATCTATTACAAATGTAACGTTTCGACGTTAGTCAACGTTCAAGTTTATTTTATCATCAGTTATTAAGTTTCAGTATTATTTAATATCCTTGTACTTATTAATAACGGATAGGTTATAGTGATTATTATTATTATTTGTAGTCTTAGACCATAATAGATCATTTACCGTCGAGGGAAACAGATAGAATTTCTTTTTTGAGTTAGTCTTTACCTTCCTTTTTCTGGAAAATGAGGTAATAAATTGTGCCACAGGGTATTTGGAAGTTTTATGAGTATCCACTTAATGCACCGGTGATTTAATTAACTCACATGATTTCGGTTCACTACCAGTTCATATTGATTTCATTTTTGAAATAGAATCAACGTCATATTAGCTGATGTTCATTAAATAGTTGAGCTTCAAATTGATAAAATCGTTTACATACATTTGTATGTGATTAGTCTTTGACATTAATATTATATTTCAAAATGAAATGATACACATCTATCATTAATTTGTGATTCTATTAAGCTTTGTAAGTGTTATTTTGGTTGTAAAATTACTTACTGTCTGTTCGTTTTTTCACCATCCTTTCGATTTTTTTCAGCTTTCTGTTCCTTGGAAATCATGGGTTCATGCTCCTTCAGAAATTCAAGCTCGTGGTCGTGTACGAATTCGTTTACATCCTGTCTCATTTGTAGTCGGAATCAATGAACTACAATCAGTTGCTGAAACGTAGGTGTGACCTAATTCATATTTTCTTTATTTTCTGTTTGTTTTATTTTGCAGTATACAGTAATTTGGATTCCAAAACTTTTCAAACATTTTAATATAAAATTAATTAGGTGTTTAATTATGGAAATTCTTATTTAATTCATACATAAATTTAATTATCATAGTTGAAAGCGTGAGTCAATTGAAGCTAGACCGCCATGGAAAACCTGGAAACACTGGACGGCCGTTTCGTCGTGGATCAGTTGAAGTTAGACATTAACACCGTTGGATGCCAGCGGGCTCAGTGGCCTATCGGTTAAGGGCTTCGGCTCGAGACTGGTAGGTCCTGGGTTCGAATCTCGCTCGCGAGAGCAGGTTCGTGGATGCGCACTGCTGAGGAGTCCCATAATAGGACGAAACGGCCGTCCAGTGTTTCCAGGTTTTCCATGGTGGTCTAGCTTTAATTGACTCACGCTTTCAACTATGATAAATACTAAATCTCCACAAAACCCTTTCTAAATTTAATTGTAATAATTTTATGAGGACTAGTGATATTTTCATGCTGCATTTTAGCTGTAGCTTTTTTTCAACTACCATGTAAAGTTGGAGATACAATTGTAATTGTCCAGTGGGTATTTTAATATTTACCGTAATTTCCACTGTTTTTGTGAATTTGATAATTTTACTAAATGTATTTTGTAATTACAGTCGTGACCTGTTGGTTGAAGCACTAGTCTTTCATTCAGTAGGTTGCAAGCTCAAAGCCTCCATCCACATCAGTTTAGGCTTCAGGTTTGTATCAGGAGCTTTCATGCAACCAAATTTTGTGGTTCTAAGTCAACTACATAAACCTGTACATGTTTAATTAATTACTTTAAAAGTTAGAATTATTGACTAGTTTAGATTGATCTTTCATTACGATTAACTCATATTGTAGAGGTCAATATGATTTGGGGAGTATGTGCCTGACGTTTAGATCTTAGTGGTGTTATTGTGGTTGACTTTTAAAAACAAACTTTATTGATAACTTTGGCATAGCATGTAACTTCTAATTGGATCTTCTATACATAAATAAATAAATAAACTAATTCTTAGGAAAATAGATTTTTAGATTTGATCTCACAGGCGATTGATGCCTTTTTTAAATTGTATTGTTTTCTATAACATTTCGTAATATATGGATTAATATTTGATGGTTGGTCACAGTGAATTCCAAGTCGCATGTTATTTCATTTCGAATTTATTAACTGTATGTAACCGTGTTTTTGGTAGCGTTCTGGCTTAAGGCTACTATGTATCTACCTCAGTTTCAGTGTTTTTCTTCAAGACTGCTGATTCGCTACAGACATTGCTTGTTCAAGTGATATATTATTATTACCGTCCTTTGTAATTATTTGCACTGTCTTATTTGTAGTTTCTTAGATAGAAAAGGAACCATCAGTTTTGTTGTGTTGTCTTCTTTAAATGAAAGTTTCGAATTGTCCTTATTTGTTTGCTGATTGTATATTTTTCTTTGATGATAACAAATTCACACTGTATAAGCATCCGTTCAAAAAAGCCATGAAACTCAATAAAGCAGAATCAATTCAGTCCTGAAAATGTCCAATTTAAGTGTTTAAAACCAGAAAAAAACATATAATACTTACATCGGTCTGCACATAGATTCTTTATTTTTTCTACAATTGTTTTTGTGTATTCAAGTTTAGATAAAACTGCTGTGCAAAACGCGGTAAACAATCATGGCTTAACATCTTTACGCGCTTACTTCAATCGATATACAAAGCATTTTGGCGCTCCAGGTTAGATATAAAATTTCTCTTACATACCTTGTTGGCTTAACATTAATTAGCATATTTTACAGATAATCAAAATATTTGTAGTTTAAAAACATGTTAGCTATTACTGTGCAGTAACTGACCTTTCACCTCATTTTGTTTAGAAAACCGGATGAATAATCTGTTCACTTGTAAAATAGGAGTCTTTTCAATGTCATTTTTTATTATGGAAGTGCTACAAAGAAATATTTATTAGTTGTTTATGCAACGATATTTGATTTATTACCTTTATGACTATTTCTTTCTATAGTGATTTGACAGTCGATGAGATATATAGTGTTTCTTTTAGACTTCTTTTTTATTTGTAAATTATTGAAGTTGTACTGTGGCTTCAACGGATAATTTGTTTTTCAATACAGTTAATTTTTAAAGCTTTAGGTGTAGTATATATATATATGTCCGACTTCCCAAAATGTGACCTCTTTTAGTTTTCTATTACTGCAGATTATGTAGATAAAAGTGATAGAAATACCGTTGAAATTTTAAACAGAGTGATTAGATTCATAATTTAAAAACAATGAATTTCAGGACAGATTGGAATGAATAAAGCATATAACATTTATTCATATTAAACGTAAACTATAGGCAAAGATAAGTGCAATCGCACAGAAATGGAGTATAAGCTAATGGAAAACCTTTATCTTTTAAAGATGTTTGACTTCATCCGGAAACTGAAGTCAATTCCAAAACATTTGTCTTAAAATTTGAACTACTTGTTAGTAGTTAGTAAAAATAATGTATTTCTAATATCACAATGTTTATGAAAACTAAATTCTTAAATTTTTTGACGTTCTGTTAGTAGTCAGGTTTAAATAGTACAAATAAATTGTGGTTCTTCATCTTCAGGTTATATCAACTAAATCATTACACGTAAGAGACTTCAAGTACATGTAGGTAGATTATAGTAGAATTGTAATGATTTTTGATAAAATTATATACGTGTTTTTATAATCATTTGTGTTGGTAATGAGGTAGGTGGGTGAATTTTTGATTTAATTTTTGGGTAACGTAAAATATACCAAATGGAACTTTGTATTATTGATAACGACAATGCGAATAAAAACAAACATAGAAATAATATCAACATTTATCTCAGAGTAAATGGGAAAGAATTGTTATGGCGCACTAGTTGGTTATAAGTAGAAATGAATATATGATTTTTTTATTTTGTTGTGACAGCTGAACTTTTATCAGTCTTGTTTTGTAAGGGAATATTTTCAGTTGTAGCCTGACTCGTTGTCTCACGGACGCTACAACCATTTTGTCCCTTGAAATTTAAAACGGGATGTTTTCATTGCATACATGTACCGTAGGCATGTATTTCTCTAGTTTGGAAATAAATTATTAACTGATTAGAAACAGTGAATAAATATGTGTGTTGTGTGTTCTAAAGACTGTTTCTTACTAAATCTCGGTTATTCACTGGTAATTTTATTATCATTTTGTTTGTTCACAAATATATTCGTTAATTTAAATAAGGCGACAGCATTATTTGCATAATTAAATGAATTCACTATATTTCAAGGTTTCTCATTCGCTGCAAATAGCCCAAATTTTCAATAGAAATAACATTATAAAAGTTTTATTACACACCATAATCAATGAAGTTCAGTTCGAAACGACTTAAGAAACAAGAGGAAACAACATATTTAACAAAATAGTTAAGATTGGTGAGTATTTATATATTGGAGATGAAATCATGAAGTACAGAGAAGTGAACAAAGTTTTAAGTAACAATGAGACAATGAATAAAAGCAAATTGTTAATAAATGAGTGAAAATAAAGGTACCTATCTAAGATAAATTTAAAGTTAACGTCTTAAGTGAATGTCAGTGGAATTTTCTACTTTATGTTGCGAACCATATAAGAAAGCTAATTTAACTGACAAGCGTTAAAATAATATAGCTATCTTACCATGGCAATGATGAGTTCACCACACTTTTTTTTTCTGTATACAAACGTCAGGTTGAAAGCGCTTGATGGCAATGACCTATGTAAAACTGTTATATCGTGTGGATTTGTGCCCTGAATGATATATAACGTGATAATACCGCCTATTAGAGAGCAGCGAATTATCGATCAGACCAGCGATACAGAAAAGCCGTATAAGCAGTCCTAAGTACTTATCAGTTCTGCTTTCTGCCTAGCCCAGCCAGTTAAGTCCAGAACATCAATTACAGCCTCTGCAATATGAATCATTTATTTCAAGCATACTGCGTTTATATACCAAAACAGACAGACCATATCGTACCATAAAATAAGAAACAATATTTGTATAGGATTCAGCCAAATGTGTATATGAATAAGGGAGATAGTAATTAATAGATAGGGCATAATTCAAGAATGGTAAATTATGTAATAATAGTTCATAGGTCAAAATAAAGCTCATAATAAGAGGGACACGAATATGAATAGTTTAGTTATTTAACAATTATATGATAAAAATATACCCATAGTATTGGTCCATAGATGGCTCCCAAAGGTTACCATTCATTATTATTATCGGGACATAACAAAAACAGAGTAAAACTGGTGTACGTTATCTGTTAATTATTTTGAACGCTTTTGAGTAATCCACGTTATGTCCACTGCCCATCAACTTTCTAAAAATCGTACTTGCGAAAACTGTACTTCCTTTCAGGCAAAGCTTACGGGGAATATGTCCCGATAACCTTCTAGGATGCCCTTCTTTCCGTCCTTCCAATGTACTTGTTTCCACAAGTACATGTAAATTCGTAAATACATTTTGAGTTGACCTCAGAACGATATTGGTCCACTTTTGATTGTTTGATTTACGGAACATCCGGTTTTATAAACTGAAAACAGTTGAGCTTCAAGGAAGCTTATAACATTTTTACCATGATATTTCGTTTGTAAATTTAGGCCGTTTGTAGCTGATGAGAAGCCTTAAAATATAATGAATTCATTGTATTCTGCAAGTATTTTTCTTCTTGCTTTATTTATATTCTTTAATGTTTAATATTTAATATGAAGTAGTGTAAAAATCTATATGCTTTAGATTTGATTCCAAATCTCATGTGTAGCATACATTTACTTACCGGTTAATTGTCAATACGATTATTGAATTATATTAAAGTCACATTGTATTGCAGCTAATGATTTTCATTTCATCGATAGAAATGTTCATAGTTGATTATAAATAAATATGAAACAGAAAATTTCATAAGATTATTACGGTCATTTGTTTATAGTTTTCTTATTTAAAAAAAAATAGTAATGATATTCATCGGATGTTCGGAGCTTCCTTTTGATGTTTAGTGTTGTAATAGAATAGTCACTTTTGGTATATATACATCCTCTGCAGATTGTTTCAGTATTTTCATCAAGTCACAAATATTGTAAGCAGAGATGGATGGTGGCTAGCTATGGAATCCAGGATGCTCATTTCGCCCTATTTAGAACTCTTCATATATATTTTGTTTGTGAATGTGTACACTACTAAGGAGTCCCAATCTTAAATGAAATCACTATCCAATACTCCATAAGTATCAGTGGTTTTTTTTATTATGAATCAGTTCGTGACTTACACTCTCCTCATAAAATGTTATTTCTTCCTACACAATCCACATTATACGGATTGAAGTCTTTCTTATAGTTTTTTTAATAATCGGATCCTGTATTGTTCATCAGTAATTTTTCTTTCTAATATAAACGAAAGGCTAACAAAGAATTTTTACCAAGATTTTTTGTTATTCAATGTTTAGATGATTTTTTTCTCTCCAAACTTTGATTGAAAGTTGTTGATGTTATCGGGTAGTTCTTTGTTTATCTTGTAAACATTCTAATTTGGGTTTTTTTTTGTTCTCGCTACAACAAATTATTCGTGTCTCAATTTTTTTCTTCTTTTTATTCTACAAAGCGAAATAATTTCCTCTCTTAACAATTGTTTCACATGATTTCAATTCTTTATAAATAATATTTATTATTTTTATTTAGTGAGGCATAATTTCATTATATTTGTCACAGACAAAGAAATTGTTCACTTTTAATCAAAATATTATAAGTATAATTCAAATTCTATGAAAACTATTTAATAGATACAACACACAAGATAATTCAGTTGGAAACATAATCAGTCAGTCAGTCAGCTACAACGTAGGCACAGACACATATATGCATCGGTCCAAGTTGTCATATCTCGTTAGCACAACAAGATAAACACCGGTCGTTGCTACTAGCTTGACGTGGTGGTCTGGCTTGCCTGTCGTGATGAAACAACCGAGCTATACTGACTGGAACAATTGTTCCTCAAAGTCCTACCATGTCAGACAGGTCGGTTAAAGAACGGCAAGACTAAAAGCAGCAAACCCAAGGTCCGAAGGTGAAGTCGTACTGCTGACTGTACAGAGGTGTGACAGCAGTAAGGTGTTTCCTTAAGACAACCATCATAACAGCGATGCTGTCTTCCCACAAGGAGGAGTAGGGTTAGAAAAGGTCGACCCTAGAACTACACACCTCGCCTTATCCCACGGATATCCGTCTCCGGCGGTAAAGTATCAACAAGTACGTAGCTGACACAAAAATTACCCACCAAAACGTCGTGTGTGGTCGACCTCAAGCAGTTGTCCCTTGGGCACTGCGGTCACGCTATAAGATCATCAAGACCACTTCTAACTTTTATTAAGAAAACCATCCTTATGGTAATACATTTTCAACTATAATTACATCCATCTATGTACTTCATAAAACATCAGTGGACATAGTGACTCCTTAAATACTCTTCGAAATACTGTGTGTATGTAAACTGTGACTAACTAGTTCAGTATATATCATCGTTTTTTCTGAAAACTTGGGTTTTGTCGTTTATTCACTGGGTTCAATTGAAGTAACAACACTTACTGAATGACGTTATCATGTTATCGTTAAGTGCTGTCAAACTGAGCTCAACACTATAGTGCCCGTAGATGACTCCATAATGATTGGCCGATATTGATATTAATGAAGCATAGTTCCTACTTGAGTTTGTATGTATTCAGTCTATTCAACACGTTTAAAACAGCAGCATATCAATAGTCGAATACTTGTTGTATTTAGGGTAGGCTTAATTCAGATATGTTAATATTGTACGGGAGACAAATTAAAAAAATATTCGGCGATTGTATCGAGCATTAGAAATCGATAATATACCGATTCAGAGAATAGCAAGGTGATTCCATTTTTATGTCATGTGAAAAATACAGGAAGTGGGTAGACGCGCACATACATGCATAAAACGTGGTCAAGGTTACACGTGAGTAACTGACAAAGGCGAATAAATGAGTGACGGAATAAATGGAAATATTAGAATAATTTCCCTCCTCACAAGTTAAAATAAGTCATGTAAATGCATAACAATACTAACTGCTACAACCGCACATTTCAATATTTTATTCCGTAATTTTTTTTGAAAATTAGGTCGAACTGTTTCAAATCAAGATGTCTGGGATTTACTCACAGATATTACACATCATCTTAATACACCTGTTCGTTCAAAACCAGTTGAAGTGTTACAGTTAGCATCAGAAATTACTCAAGCATTTCATGGTTTGCGGATAACAACTTGTAAATCAGCTAAAGATCGTACAGCTATGTCTGTTACTTTGGAACAAGTTCAATGGTTGAAAGTAATTTTATATCTATTGTATTTTATGTCTGTTATTCTCTTCAGTGATGTTATATTTGTGACATTAATACTGTATATCTGACAAATAATATGAAATACTATGCTTTATGTTTATAAGAAAGATTTCTTGTCGCTGTGTCTATGATATATTTCAATTTTGTCCGACGTACATGCTTACCAGCTTCTACGTTTCGTTTAACTGATTGATTAAAGGAAGATGAGATTAATCTTCGTGTTAGCTGAACAATCTTATTGAGTAAATGTAACTGTAATCAGCTAGTCAGCTATAAGCAATGTAGAACCTGGCATGTATATGCATTGGTTTAAGTTTTCATAGTATATTAACACGACTAGGACAAGTCACAATATAGAAAGATGTTAAGTGGAGTGTTCTGGCGAAGCGGCTTCGGGCGTAGCAGTCGCTGACGACGAGGGGAGGATGTGGGACATCCCGGGTGCTGGGTAGACATCGGATTTACATAACCCGGCAGGTCAATAGGGCTACGGAGATTAGCACGCCAGCAGACTAAACATTTCGACGGGGAGCGAGGCAAAGACTTTAACAAAGAGAAGGGAGGCACGGCGACCAGAACGACTGCGGGGGTGAATATTTAAAGGGGAATGAGTGTATTGTATGTTATTTATGTCGACAGATATAATTAGTGTGTAGCACCAACCAGAAGTAGGATGGCTACTAGCAAAAGATTGAATTAAAGAGAACACGAAGGTAAATAGAGAGCAATTGGAATAACAACAGTATTGGAAGAATCATGAAGCACGTACAGGACAACTGAATGATGATGTGTAAATGATGTGTTTGATGTATTGTTTTCATATTTTACAAAGGCACTTTGTAACTTTGCATTAAACAATAAATTGGTTTCCCTCGTCAAGTCTTCGTTCACCACAACAAAGTAGTAGTGTGGTGTGGGTTACTTATATCGGCATAAGTAGTATATGATGATGGTCAGGCATATAATGTATTTCACCAGAAGATTGATAAGGAAAGAACCAAAACGAAACGCAATTGGTGTGAAAATGCATGAACAATAAAACCAGAGAAGATGGACTGATTTTTAAAGAAGGAACGGTCAAGATTGAGACAGTTGATTGTTATTTTGCAAATTAATTGTTTATTGTACGATTGTCAGATTTTAGTGAGATGGTCTGTAATTTTTGTGTCAAATATATTTGATTATCCCCGTCTGTGCTCTTGTTCACTACAGTAGTAATCATTCAATAAATTCAGCCATTAGTTACTATATTTGCCTACAAATCGACTAGGTAGTCTACATTTACCTACCCTCCTCGATCCAATAGTCAGTGACTTCATTTATATAGTTTGTAAACTTCTATATTTAGTTATTAGTTGTTCTTAAATGAAAATATTCTTGTTTAAAACTCTACATAAACATAAGTTTAATAAATTCACTTGGTATTTTTTGTTTGAATCTTCCCATTGATGTTTAGGACTGCAACTGGTTAGTCTCTTATTGGCATATGTGCATACTGTGCGCATTTTCTCGATATAGCATTAATTCACAAGCATGGTAAGCAAAGATGGATAGTGGCTAGTAGTGGAATTCAGGATGCGCGTTTCGTTCTATTTGGGACTCGTCAGCTGGATGTACCTGCACCTCAGAGTTGATGTCCACTCTGGGACTCGAACCCATTACCTTCCCTTTCAAATGCCATCACGTTATCCACTCAGCTACTGAGTCCTGATAGCCACTCGCGAAACGCGCGTCCTGGATTCCACTATCCATCTTTGCTTCATAAGTTTAATAAATTTGTATATGAATAAACATTACACTAATCCTTTTCTTGTAAGTAAAATTAAAACTAATTATAATTTATTATTACCTAATATAATAAAATATATAGCAGTTTATATACTAATCTCACATTAATTTATTAAATCATCAATAAAAATAATTGATATCAAGTGACAATAATTTTTCAATTGTACTTTTGTCTATAATTGATTGATGTGAATAATGTAGAATTTAGGCGAAGTTTTGTTCTCTAAGCTGAATGGTTTAATCATGAAGCTTTCATTGTTCTTCTGATAAAAGATCATTAGCACAAAACTTCACCATCTAGTAATGTAGAATTACCGAATAGATTATATTATGTTTAGTCTTTGACTGTTTGAAAAAAAGTTATTTTCACTAGTGTTGAATTAGGTTATTAGTTTTTTATGATTGATTATAACTTGGCTAGTTTGTTTACCATAAAATTAATAATCTACCAATATCCCCTGGTTTAAGAGTGAATCAAATGAGTAAATGTAATAATTAGGAGTATTTGAATTATGGTACAAACTAGGAATCCCAGAAATAACGCAATTTAATCAAGAAGTACTAGATGATCACGAACTAATGTATTGTATTCGGAATTCGAAATCAAGCAATCATCAAGTACAAAGGAATCATTAGTCCATACAAACACCATAGTCTCTAATTTTAGGTTTATGTACTCAACTTTTAGTTATATTGTAGTCTCGGTTGGTATGTTAAACCCATATACCTTATTTTAGCTTCTGGACAAGCCAATTTACCTATCCATCTTGAGTCATGTTTTGACCTTGTCAATTATTCACTTATTAACCCTGACTATTTTTATATGAGCGTATGTGTGTGTACACTTTTTATCTTATTCATCACATGCCTGTCATTTATTCTTGTCTGACTATAAATATTGATTAAAGCGAGTTGGTTTACCCGCCATCTCCAATGTGCGTTATTTTCGCTTCGCTTGCTGATATTTGCTCATGTACTTGTAGCTTTCTGGCCTGCGTTATATTTGATAATAAACTGTAGTTGCCGCTTCTCTTTGCCTTCTGATTTCATGCACCGTAGAGATTTGTATTATAACGGTTATCGAGGTGAACGATTAGCGAAGCACGGCACCACAATATGATGGGACACTTTAGTTATATGATGGATAATGTTACTATCCGGTTATTTGAACTAGATACAACCGATACAGTGCTCGCACCTGCCAAGTATTAGTTGAGGCCTGAGTGGCTATTCTTTTTTTTGTATCATAATAATATTCACAAACGTTATTTTTAGTAAATCCTATCATGGATTCGTGTAACATAGCAAGGAAAGATACAACGACATTTAATGATCATGACTGTTTAGCAATTGTAAAAGCAAAATGAACGAATAATATTACTTAAGAACAAGAATTTCCTGTGTTATTCGTCATCGAGGAATAATTTCGTGTGTTTAATTTCGACCATAGATTAGTTATTTTCAACACTTAGTATTCATCAAAAACAGACAATGTTGTTTCTTCCTGTATTTTCAAATATCAATTTATGGTAAGAAGTGTTGTCTTTTCTGTCATATGGTTTAAACTATTCTATGTGTTTATTCAGTATTCTTGATATATTTTTTGGTAATTCTAAATACATTCTTACGTACACATGTAGATTATGAATTTCGGTGATTTTCTTATATAAAACAGATAAGTTTACTTGAACGTTGCCTTCCGTTTTTTCTTTATCGAAACGCGAAGATTCCTTTCCGCTTCTTGTCTGTAAACACTTGTATTCGTTTTCTGCAGATGTTTGTATATTTTTTGTGTATAACTCTGAACAAAATTGTTCAACATCATAGTCATTGATAATCTATCTTTTCGTCATACATAATTAATGATAATACTAGTAATAATAATCCCTCATTTCAGGAAATATTTCATTTTTAGAAAAATATCACTTCTTTTTTGCTTTTCCATCTCTCTTTCTAATATCGTCTAATGTGTGTGTTAATTTTATTTTGTTTATTAGTAACTATTACTACCTATCATGAGTAACCTTCTGCTCAGTTTGTTTTTGAAAAAAAAAATCATTTTCAGCATTATCTTTATCATTGAATTCATTCGTTGACATCTTCAATTTTTAATATAATTACTTACCTTACTTACTTACGCCCGTTACCCCTCGTCGAGGAGCATAGGCCGCTCACCAGTATTCTCCACCCAACTCTGTCCTGAGCCTTCCTTTCCAGTTCTTTCCAGTTGCTGTTCATCCTTTTCATATCTGCTTCTATTTCCCGGCGTAATGTGTTCTTTGGCCTTCCTCTTCTCCGCTTCCCTTCCGGATTCCAAGTTAGGGATTGAGTCGTGATGCACATTGGTGATTTCCTTAGTGTATGTCCGATCCACTTCCAACGTCTTTTCCTAATTTCCTCTTCAGCTGGAAGCTGGTTTGTCCTCTCCCATGAAACGCTGTTGCTGATAGTATCCGGCCAATAGATGTTGAGTATTTTGCATAGACAGCTGTTGATAAATACTTGTACCTTCCTGATGATGGTCGTAATAGTTCTCCACGTTTCAGCTCCGTACAGTGGGACTGTCTTGACGTTCGTATTAAAGATTCTGACTTTGAAATTGGTTGAGAGTTGTTTTGAGTTCCATATATTCTTCAATTGTGGAAATGCTGCCCTTGCTTTGCCAATCCTCGCCTTTACATCTGCATCCGATCTTCCTTGTTTATCAACGATGCTCCCCAGGTACTTGAATGTTTCCACCTCTTCCAGAGTTTCGCCGTCAAGTGTGATTGGGTTGGTGTTCTCCGTGTTGCATTTGAGAATCTTGCTTTTTCCTTTGTGAATGTCGAGGCCTATCGATGCAGAGGCTGCTGCTACATTTGCTGTCTTCATCTGCATTTGTTCGTGTGTATGAGAGAGGAGGGCTAGGTCATCAGCGAAGTCCAAATCCTCTAATTGATTCTGAGAAGTCCATTGTATTCCGTATTTCCTTTCAGATGTCGAATTCTTCATAATCCAGTCAATCACTAGAAGAAAGAGGAATGGGGAGAGTAGACAGTCTTGTCTGACTCCGGTCCTTACTGGAAATGCATTTGTCAGCTGTTCTCCATGCACGACTTTACACTGTAGTCCACCGTATGAGTTTTGGATAATGTTGACGATCTTCTGAGGAACTCCATAGTGTCGAAGAATTTTCCATAATGTTCTCCTGTTCACGCTG